TGGGTCTAAGCTGGGGCCTGCAAGGCCACAGGCAAGTAGCTTTTTCTCGAATTCGTACCACGAACATTAGGCGCCAGATGTAGCATGAACCTTAAAGGGTCTTATTAATAAAAAAAAAAAAAACTCAGGAGCCAGATATTGGGGTGAACGCTAAAAGATCAGAGAAACAGCCACCTCACCTAGGAGCTATGTAATCAATTGCGGTGCTACCAAAGTCTGTATTGAGTCTCTAAGTCTCCTTTCCTAGCAAGTCTTCCGTTGACAGAATGAGGTCATGTCATAACTTGTCCATAATCTACGTTTTGTTGCTGGCTTCCTTTGTTCTGTCAGTTAGCAAGTTCTTTTGTCTTCTCTAGTTCTTCTGTGTATGGACTAATGTGCTTTAAATGATTTTTTTCAACCGAGAATATTTGTAGAGTATGTGCATATCTCATTTAGGACGCGTGTCTTCCTGTCTACTTTTGTGGTGTTACGGAAAGTTTGTTAGTTCCTGTGATTAATTAGAGGTTTAACAAATCCTGATATTCTAATACATTATTACTTGATAATTTCTTAATTGGATTTATTACAAATAAAATTTTCTTTTGCAAGCTATTGTTTTTTCCTAAGGTATTATTTGCTCCAATGAACAGCTGATAGAAGAACACAGACGTCCTTTTTAGACTGTGAACTGGTTCTCTATGTCCTCCTGAGATGACTCAGACTGTTGCTTGTTTTAGTGTTTGTTTAGTGGATTTTAAAATATTTGAGGCAGTCAGCCTACTGGTGTGTGTGTATGTGTTTCTAAATTCATAAATATAACCTCAGTCTGTATAATGTTAACTTGTATGTATATGTTTTTAGAGCCAACCATTTGGTATTAAATAACCAATTGGTGTGCTCTTCTCTGAGGAAGATTTTTTTACTCCACTGTCAGTATTCCTGTAGTTGTTTGCCTAGGGTTGAGGACTTGTGAGCTTTACCCCTTCCATGTTAGCACGTCTGTTGTTATCATCCTTGTTTAGTTAGTATTTGTGTGGCCATGTTGGTGAGACTTCAAGGGTGTGGCCTCTGACATTTATTTCTAGGACACACAGTCTTATAGCAAACTCCCTGTTGAGCCGTAGTTGCAGGCGTTGTGTTGTAGATGTATCAGTTGGGATTGGTCTCCACAGTTTGATTGGTTGTGGTTTTCTGTAATGATCACCTTATGTTTCAAAGAGAAGTTTCTATGATAAGGTCTGAGGGTTGGTCTTATCTGTGGGTATGAGGTCAGGTATTTAGTATATAACTAGGAATTATGCTGGTTTATGAGAAACTGTTTAAAAACTGTTTTCAGATTCCTTATCACAGCCTTAGTGCTAAGGTCTCCCCACCTCTCTTTCTCTCTTTCCCTCCCTCCCTCCTCTCTCTTTCTTTCTTCTTTTCTCTCTTTCCCTCTCTCCCCTCTCTCCCTCCCCTCTCTTCTTCTTCCTCCTCCTCCTTCCTTCTTCTTCTTCTTCTTCCTCCTCCTCCTCCTCCCCCTCCTCCTTTTTCTTCTCTCTCTTTCTCTCTCTCCCCCCCCCTCTTTCTCTCTGGCTTTTGTTTTGAGGTAAGGTCTTTATATGCAGCTCTAGCAGGCCTATAACCCACCCTGTAGACCATGATAGCCTTGAACTCACAGAGATCCGCCGGCCTCTGCCTCCCCAGGACTGAGATTGAAGGCATGCACCAACACATAACATTGAAGCTTATTCTTTTAACATTTTCCAAGACCTTTTGGAAACAGCCATTTTTTTTAAAAGATTTATTTATTTATTATGTATACAGTGTTCTGTCTGCACGCATCCCTGCAGGCCAGAAGAAGGCACCAGATCTCATTACAGATGGTTGTGAGCCACCATGTGATTGCTGGGAATTGAACTCAGGACCTTTGGAAGAGCATCCAGTGATCTTAACCTCTGAGCCATCTCTCAAGCCAAGGAAACAGCCATTTAAAAAGAAAAAAGTTACTATTCCTTTTAGTGGGAAATGGGTTTTGATGTTTTATTTTGTTTTTTTGAGACAGTATCTCACATTGTCATCTAAACTGGCTGGGAAGTCACCATGTCATGTAGCCCAGGTTGTCCTTGAATTTACAGTGGTCATTCTGCCACTGCTTCTTGAGTGCTTGGGTTATAGCCATTTACTATCACAGTGGTAGAAAATAATGATTAGAAACCACAAATTAACATTATGAAAATTGGATTTTTTTAAGATTTATTTTTATTTATGTTGTGCACTGCACAAAGTGGATGTGGTGTCATCTTCATTGCATATACAGATACGGAGTGTGTGTCATGTGTGTACTGGTGACTGGGAATGCCAGAAGAGGGCAGCAGGAATCCTCTGAAGTTGGAGTTACAGGTGTTGGTGAACTGCTCGATATGGATGCTGCAAACTGAACTCAGAGCCTTTGGAAGAACAAGGAGCACCCTTAACTACTGAGCCATCTCTCCATCCCCTGAATTTTAATTAGACTTTAAGTTGAATAGAAATATTCAGTTGTGTAACCAAGTTTATTTTGCCTATTTTTTGTGGCTCATTTGACATAATTCTCTGTAATTGATACCATATCACAAAATGAGGTATAACTGGACTCAGGACATAGCTCAGTTGGTAGAGTGCTTGCCTCACATCCGTGAAACCCTTGGTTTGAGCCCTAGCACTGCACTAAATGAATGTGGTATCCAGACCTATAATCCTAGCTCTTTGGATGTGGAGACGGGAAGATTAAATTCAGGCCCAGCCAGGGCTACAGGAAACTAAGTCTCAAAATCAGTAACAACAGATGCAGGGAGACAATGAGATTGCTCAGTGAGTAAAACCACTTTCCACAAAATCTGACAGCTTGAGTTTAATCCCCAGAAGTCCTCTGAGTGCCAGTGTATGCTGTGGCATGGGTGTGCCCATATACATGCACACATCATACATACAAAATTAAAATTTAAAGATGTATGCATGTATACATTTATTTACCACTTATTTTTAAGATATTTCTATGTAATACTTATCTTTCTGCCTTAGAGACTTACCTTGAGAACCAGTGCCTTAGATTTTCCAGATAGACTCATGTTTGTGTATACAACCTTAGAAGCTAACCTTAATCTAGATACTACTCCACAGGTAAGTCGAATGCCTGGCTCTTAGCAGGTTCTTGAGCCCATCACCTTGTCAGACAACACTAAAATAGCATGTGTGTTTTCATCTGTATTAGGTAAAACAAATTATTTAGTTATTAATAGATTATAAAAATCCTTCTTGAACATATAAGTTAGTGTTAACTTAATTACTAGTTAATATTTGTGATTTCATACTTTTGAGATATTTCTATAAGATTGTTTCCTGTAGCTAGAGTTTTCCTGCCTGGCCCACAGTTAGGACAAATCTCTCTCACCTGCCAGTCCCACAGCCGCTCAGATCCAACCAAGTAAACACAGAGACTTATATTGCTTACAAACTGTATGGCCATGCCAGGCTTCTTGCTAACTGTTCTTACAGCTTAAATTAATCCATTTCTGTAAATCTATACCTTGCCACGTGGCTCATGGCTTACCGGCATCTTCACATGCTGCTTGTCATGGTGGCGGCTGGCAGTGTCTCCTTCAGCCTTCCACTTCCCAGAATTCTCCTCTCTCCTTGTCCCTCCTATACTTCCTGCCTGGCCACTGGTCAATCAGTGTTTTATTTATTGGCCAATCAGAGCAATTTGACATACAGACCATCCCACAGCAGTTTCCTATGAGTATCTTCTATTAAAATAGAAAATTCCAACTTGCTTTAGAGTTCTTCACTATTAGTTTAAAATCTTAACATTTAAAACTGAAGTATTATTTTTATAGTCTTTGATATTAGATTTCGATCACTGTGACAAAATACCTGATATAAAAAGTAATAAATAGGAAAAACTGATTTTGTTCACAGTTTCAGTTATTTCTTATGTATATGGGTATTTTTTCCTTCATGTATGTCTGTTCACCATGCGCATGTCTGGTGCTCAAGGAGACCAGAAGAGGGCATCAGATCCCTGGAACTGGAGTTACCGTTGGTGGTGAGCCTGCACATGGGTGCTGGGAGCTGAAGCCAGGTCCTTTAGAAGAACAACCTGTGCTCTTTATCACTGAGCCATTTCTCTGGCTCCTCCATTGCTTCTTGGCCTGTGATGAAGCAGAACTTGATGACGTGGAGCATGTGGGAAGCAAAGCTGCTCACCTTCTGACAGCTGGGAAGCAAAGGAGGAGAGAGTGGAGGGTGCAGGGATCCCAGCTTCCTTTCAGGGCAGGGATCTAGCTGGTTAGTTCCTTCAGTCCCCTTCTTGCAATACCACAGACTGGAAAGAATGTAGCCCAGCGATTGAAGTGCTTCCCTAAGTGTGTTCAGTGCCACAGCACAATGGGTTTAACCCCCACATGAGTCAACATGGAAGTTAAAGTCTTGTCAGGAGGTGAGACAAGGTCTCACTGTCCGTATGTCGTCCTGCCTGGCTGAAAATGTGCATTTCCGCCGCAGTTTATCTTCAGTATTGTTCTTCCTTCCTTCTTTTCTCCTTTTATCTTTGCCAAGTCCCTTCTTGTTTGCTGTTTTATCAAACTCCACATCTCTTCTTTTGCCTTCCCAATCTTTTATGATTTCTTCTTCCTTTCTTACTGAAATTTCTAGGCTAATAAAAGTTGTATACTACAAATCCACTGTAACCAAGAGTTTTCCAGTGAGATCTGTGCAGTCCTCATTAGTACATCATAATCACTTCTTCTGCTAGGACTGCCTTTGTATTTCAAAATACAAATTTGTCTTAACATAAAGAGAAGATCAGAGTCATGTATGCAAATTTTATACAGCTAATAAAATTAATATGCAATGCTATTTGAAATTCTATATAAAGATTCTTAACTTTTACCATTTGGATATTAAAATGATTTTAATCTTACTAGTTGTCTTTTGATTTGAAATGTTTTGTCTGTTAAGTATTTAATATGCTGGTTTTGTGATTTAATTTTGTTTAGGTTGAAATTCTTGAAAATGAAATTATTCAAGAAAAGCGAAGTCTTCAAAATTGTCAAAATTTAAGCAAGGATCTAATGAAAGAAAAAGCTCAGCTTGAAAAAACAATTGAAACACTCAGAGAAAATTCAGAGAGGCAGGTTCGTGTATTTTTCATTTAAACAATTGTTTTAAAGTAAATGTTAATATACTACTACAAGGAAACCTACTGGGACTTTTCAGACTTCAGACTAACTGCCATAACTGCCCCACGTGTAGTCTGGCTTCTGCCACTTCACTGTAACCTGCCGTCTATCACAGTTCAAAATGTTAAGTTATCCAGTGCATCCAGCTGTTTCCAGAAGTCAGCAATCTGTAAATTCTCACTTGTGTGTCGTTCTGAGTAGTGTCATGAAATCTTTTCCCATTCCAGGCTGTGCATATGAATGGTTTTGCCCAAACAAGTTTCTCCTGTATATCCACTCCCTGCCTATTACTGCTTATTACCCTTGTGTCACAATGTTCTCATTCAGGTCACTCACATTTTACTTGATAATGGCCCTGAGTTGCAAAAGTAGTAATATTAGCAATTCATATGTCAGGGAAACTGATAAGTGCTTCCTTAAGATGAGAAGTTTAAAGTTTTCCATGTAGTCAGGAAAGGAAAAATACACTGAGGCCTATGATAAAATTGTTGTTAACCTCTTACTGTGCCTAATAAATTATCATCAGTAGAGTGTATGTGGAAACAAAACAGTACATACAGACTCAGAACTCTTTGAAGTTTCAAGTGTCCATGGGGGATCTTGAAATATATTCTGTCTGGTTAGGGAGGAATTGCTATATTGTTTCACATACTCTATACCATATTAGAAATTTTGAAGAGAAGCTTAGAAAAATTTAAACTGCCAGTTTGCTTAATAAGAATTGATTCTAAATGTTCTTTAGTTCCTGTGCTTTTCAAGTATCTGTAGAATAGCACTGCAGATTTTAAGGAGAAGTTGGAGAAAATGCACACTACCCCCTCCCCAGTAACGAGGAAGGAATGAGGTGGCAGCAGACATCTTGAAACTCAGAACGGGTTATGCTACAAATTGGATGGATTTATTTTTAGACACACTAGGTCATTTTTTTGTTTATATGTTACCCAGTTAAAATTTCCTTTTAGAAATGATTACACATACACACAAACAAATAAGGTACACATACTTACCAATGACCCACCTTGTGTAGGCAACGTAAAGATTATTTAAATGAAAATTAAAACCTTAGGTCTTTAAGGATATTTGAAGTAGATTAACTCTAAACAATCTGAAGATCATTTTAATTGTAAATGTTTTTCTGTTAGATAATCCTTTAGATTGCAAAATCCCTAAAAACATGAACTTTAGTGGTGTGACAAGTAAATATACAAAGTGGTCTTTCAGTAAATATTTGTCAGATTAAAATAGTAAGCCATACACTCTAGTATCCATGTTCTTTCCTTGTTAGTTTTTGATAGTTTAAAGACTGTGTTTATTCATTGTAATTTTACATTTTATTTTTTTTAATTAGATTAAAATATTGGAGCAGGAAAATGAACATCTGAATCAAACTGTATCTTCCTTACGACAGCGCTCCCAGATTAGTGCTGAGGCAAGGGTGAAAGACATTGAAAAGGAAAATAAAATTCTTCATGAGTCTATCAAAGAAACAAGTGGAAAACTAAGCAAGGTTGAATTTGAAAAAAGACAAATGAAAAAAGAATTGGAGCATTATAAAGAGAAAGGAGAGCGAGCAGAAGAACTGGAAAATGAGTTGCATCATCTTGGAAAAGAAAATGAATTGTTACAGAAGAAGATAACTAATTTAAAGATTACTTGTGAAAAAATCGAGGCATTAGAACAAGAAAATTCCGAGCTAGAAAGAGAAAATAGAAAATTAAAAAAAACTTTGGATAGCTTTAAAAACCTTACTTTTCAGTTAGAATCCCTAGAAAAGGAGAATTCCCAACTTGATGAAGAAAACTTAGAGCTGCGAAGGAGTGTGGAGTCTCTGAAGTGTGCGAGCATGAAAATGGCACAGCTCCAGCTGGAGAACAAGGAGCTGGAGAGTGAGAAGGAGCAGCTCAAGAAGGGCCTGGAGCTCATGAAAGCCTCCTTCAAGAAGACAGAGCGCTTGGAAGTGAGCTACCAGGGGCTTGACACAGAAAACCACAGGCTACAGAAAGCTCTAGAAAATAGCAATAAAAAAATCCAACAGTTAGAGAGTGAGCTACAAGACTTAGAGATGGAAAATCAAACATTACAAAAAAACCTGGAAGAACTGAAAATATCTAGCAAAAGACTTGAACAATTAGAAAAAGAAAATAAATCATTAGAACAGGAAACTTCTCAACTCGAAAAGGACAAGAAACAATTGGAGAAGGAAAATAAGAGACTCCGACAACAAGCAGAGATAAAAGATACCACACTAGAAGAAAATAATGTGAAAATTGGAAATTTGGAAAAAGAAAACAAAACTTTATTTAAAGAAATTAATATATATAAAGAGTCCTGTGTTCGTCTGAAAGAACTAGAAAAAGAAAACAAGGAGCTTGTGAAAAGAGCAACTATTGATATTAAAACTTTGGTTACATTACGTGAGGTAAATATATTTACCTATACTTAAGGCAAACATTTTTTATATTTGTAGTCCATGTTTTATTGAACCCATTTTTAATTTGTATCATCTTTTCTATACTTCATGTTATATATTTTGGAATTAGAACTAGAAACAATTTCTAACTTTCCTATTGAGATGAAAAGTTTAAATTACATTTTTAAAATGTTATTAATAAGGTAGTATTAATTAGAGTGAGTGTTTTTAGAGGGACTTGGCTAAGGAATCACATGTAGACTATACTCAAATTGATATGATTTTCACAGCCAATCATTTAAATACTATTTTTATCTTTCCTATTGGCAAACAAGTTCAGAAATATGAACTTACTCAGAATCAGAGTTAATAAAAGAGTTGAATGTCTGCATTCATTTTCAGCTCTTTCAAACTCCAAAGCTCTGTGAGTTTTGAGAAGCCTGAGAATAGAAGTCAGGTTCAACTTAAACTGCAACACTGAACTACTGAGAATTCTGAAATAATAAGATTTGATGGGTAATATCTCCTTTAATACTTGCTGCATCAGAAACATGTCAGAAAATAGAGTCTGTACTCAATGTCAAGTATGGGGATGGACATTGGCATGAGGACAGGGATACCTTACAATTCTGTGGTCTGAATTCCTAGTACGAGGCATTAAGAAGGAACTTGCCGATATGAGCAACAGGCCAATAAAAAAAATGTCCCTAATTCTTCAGATGCATGTGTTAGGCCTCTTCTACCACAAGAAAGATTTGTCATAATGGAAGGATGTTAGATCTCACATAAGTTCATGGGAACAAATGTGCATATAATTTTTTTATACTTCATTAAATGTTTGAATATTTACAGTTTTCCAGCCTTTCTTGTATGTTTACCAGGAAAGTTTCCTCTTATTTTATAACATAGCATTATAAAGAAGCAGCAGTACAAGAAAAGAGGATATTTCTAATAAAAATGTTTTTCAACAGTATTTTGAACAAGAAAAGATTATTAAGAAATGGTTTCAGCTTGGGTGTAGTATACTACTTAGCTACTTCTTGGTAATAAAGATAGTGTTAGTGACTTATCTTATTCTTATCTGGTTGAAATGATGTCTTCTGTTGTAGTAATTACAGTCTTGACTGACTTTCTTTTCTTGACATTTGAGTGAGTTGTACATTCTTTTTAAAACAAGGACTTAGTAAGTGAAAAATTGAAGACGCAACAAATGAACAATGATCTCGAAAAATTAACACATGAGCTTGAGAAGATAGGTTTAAATAAAGAGCGACTCTTACATGATGAACAAAGTACTGATGACAGGTGAGTACTAGGAGATAGCTGTAGTTTTTATCTGGGGAAATGTTGCCCAAACAATACCTTTTTGTTTCTGGTTCCTTCCTTGTTTTGGAGAAAGTTCTGTAAGAACAGAAAGAAATAATAAAGACAACCCAGTAACTTATAAGAAAACAATTTCTATAAAAGCAAGATTCCTAAAGTGGCAGAAACTTAGAAACTGCCTTTGAGAGTAGAGTGAAGAACCAACCAACAAAACATTCCTCTCAGGAAATAAGCAGTTAGCTAAGCATTTCATTTGTCATTTGGTTAAGTGGTTCAGTTCTTTTATTTTGTTGCTAAACATGGGCTGAAAGGGGGAATATATGAAAGAAAAATATATATTGAGACACAATGTATGAAAATGATGTGGACAAACAGTATAAAAATTACTCTTTAACTTTTAAAATGGTTGATACAGATTTCTTTTAAAATTTCTGACCATGTAATCATAGTTTTTTAGTTAGGATTAATCCGATTTTTTTTTTTTTTTTTTTTTTTTTTTTTTGTCTTTCAAGACAGGGTTTCTCTGTGCAGCCCTAGCTGTCCTGGAACTTGTTCTGTAGACAGGCTGGGCTCAAACTCACAGAGATCTACCAAGTAGTCTTTTATTTAGTATCCAAAGGGCCACGTGTTTGAGCTAGACTAGATGTCTACTCTTAAGAATACTGTTTTGTGGGCCAATAAGATGGCTCAGTAGGTAGCCTATAAGCTTAATTCTCAGGACTCACATGGTAGAAGGAGAAAACCAACTCTGGCAGGTTTTCTTCTGACCTCCATACACATGCTGTGGCATGTATGCTCACATACTTATATGCAAATACATGTAATTAAACCTTTTCTATAAGACTGTTATTTGAGGCTGGGAAGATGGCTCAGTGGATAAAGCCCTCACTTTGCAATTATGGAGACCAGAGTTAGGATCTTCAGAACTTACATGAAAGCCAAGTGGGACATAGTGGCCACCTATAATCTCTGAAGCAAGCTTGCTAGATGGACAAACTGAAATTGTCCATTTTCTGGTTCATCAAGAGAACGAGCCTCAGTACATAAGAGTGATCCAGGAAGACGCCAGATGTCAACTTTAGCTTCCACTAGCATACATGTGAACATGGCCTAATCACACACCATACACACAGAAAGAAAATAAAAAATGCTTTTTTATGTAGAATAGATTTTAATTCACTGGTTCCATTATATTTATACAACTTCGTTGTATTATTTATTATTCTAGCTTTGATATTTTATGCATATACATTAATATAAATTAATATGTACAAGTTAGGAGGAATTAATGCTTATTATTTGGTATTTAATGGTATAGTTTTGAGACTAGTCCGTAGGTTGATAATTTAAATGGTCAGCTCTATAACACAAAGAAATAACTAGGCATTTTGCTACTCAGTTATAAGTCAGGCAGCCAGGAGCTTAGAGATGGCACAATGGTCAAAGAACACTTGCTGCGGCTGGGTATGGTGGCTCACACCTTTAGTCCAGCACTCTAGAGGCAGAGACAGCGGATCTCTGAGTTCAAGGCCAGCCTTGTCTACACAGAGAGTTCCAAGACAGACAGGACTACACAGAGAAACCCTGTCTTGAAACAAAACAAGAACAACAAAACTACTTGTTGCTCTTGCAGAGGACAAGGGTTCTATTCCCAGCACCCATGTGGTGGTTCACAACCATCCCTAACTCTAGTTCCAGAGTTCTAACATCTTTTCTGACCTCTGTCTTGACTGTCTTAATATAGATTCTTAATCTGTATCATTTCTTTATTCAGATTACCTGCTGTTTATAAAACATTGTTTTGTGTTGTTGGCAAAGCATGTTTTGACCTAAGTGATACTTTCATTGAAATTTATGAGCCCAGTTTAGATGAGCCTCTCTTAGTGCTTCTCACCACTTCCCAAGCCTTAATTCTTACAGGGAGCCAGTATTAGTTGATTCTTAGAGCAATTTAAAACCTGCAAAGAAGATGTGATAACATTCATTATCCTATGTTTGTTTATTCTACTATTATTTATTATTATTATTATTATTGGTTTTTCAAGACAGGGTTTCTCTGTGTATCTCTGGCTGTCCCGGAAATCACTCTGTAGACCAAGCTGGCCTTGAACTCACAGAGATCCACCTGTCTCTGCCTCCCAAGTGTTGAGATTAAAGCCATGAACCACCAGGCCCAGTTCCACATGTTTGTTTATATAATAAAAGCTTTTGAGATTAAAAATGGTGGAGTTTGGGGATTTAGCTCAGTGGTAGAGTGCTTGCCTAGCAAGCACAAGGCCCTGGGTTCGGTCCTCAGCTCTAAAAAAAAAAAAAAAAAAAAAAAAAAAAACAGAAAAAAACCCAATATATTGTCAACTAAAACTTTCAGGAAATGTGATTGGAAAGCATTTAATAACTAAATTTTGGAAAGAACAGAGAAGAGTGCTATGTCTTAAGCCACTAAATCAGCTTCCTTTAACTAGAAAGTAAACTTCTATATTACAAATAAAATAGAGGCTCACAGGTACAAATACTTCTTTAGTCTTTCATCTTCTCCATCTTGGAATTTATGCCTATCAGTTTCAGGTGATGTTCCTAATTCCTTTGTTACTCTTGTCTTTCTAATTAATGTCACTGCCACTTCGAAGAGACAACTATTACTAAGATGGTTTCTTTCTTACCATTAAAGCATATATAGGTTACTGGTGCTATCAAATATATAAATATATAACAAAGTAAGTTATTGCTGCAGTTGTGATTGCTTTTGTCTCTTTATCCTATTTTCTTTTTAAATATAGTTGTTTCTTGGAATTTATATTTTCAGGAATTTTTTTCTGCTCACCTGAGATTTTTATTTTTCTCTCCTTACTGTACAACACCTCCAGAACTGTCTAAAGCAATTCAGGTATCAAAACTTAAATGCAGCCAAAATCAGACTTAGTAAATATATTAAAAGCCAGTTGTAGCCGGGCAGTGGTGGCGCACGCCTTTAATCCCAGCACTCGGGAGGCAGAGCCAGGCGGATCTCTGTGAGTTCGAGGCCAGCCTGGGCTACCAAGTGAGTTCCAGGACAGGCGCAAAGCTACACAGAGAAACCCTGTCTCGAAAAACCAAAAAAAAAAAAAAAAAAAAAAAGCCAGTTGTAGAATCAATCCAACACCAAAATGAATGAGATTTGTTCTTTGTATTCATGAAACTTAAAGTCTTCAGACAGAAAATATAAAAATTAATTATAGGTGCTGAAAAGATGGCTATGTGGCTTCGAGTACTTGCTGCATTTACAGAGGACCCAAGTTCGGTTCTCAGCACTCATGTTGTATGGCTTACAACCACTTTCAACTCCAGTCCCAGGGTATCTAATGACTCTTTTGGCCTCTACGCGCACCTGCACATATGGCATATACACACTTTTGCACATGAATAAAAATAACTCAAAGTGTTAATTATAGTAACAGGCAGGATGGTATTGTGGTATATTTGTTTACACTAACACTCTGAGACTGCTAATAAAAGTTTACCTTGAATCAGAGAAGCAGCAGAGAAGCCACCAGTGACATCCTCTCTCTCTCCTTTCATGATCCAAAAAGACCTGAGAACCTTTTTAAGCCCCTCTCTACTACTTCCCGTGTCTCTCTCTGTATCCTGGGTCCTCTAAAACCTCTATGGCTAATTTTGGTAAACTAGTTCCTACCTCTGACCTCTGATTCACGGTAAACTTTATTGCCATTCTCAGAGTGTCAATGTGAACAAATATCCCACAACATTTCCCCAGTTTTGTCTAAATAAAAAGGAAAGGTTTTAACTTTATTTAACAAACTAAAACTATATACAATAAGAACAATTATCAAGTAAGAATTACATTCAGAATATCCAGTCCATTTGTATTTGGCAAATTCAGGAGAAGATACTCTTATTATCTTTCCTATCTTAGTGAGTCCAAAGCTTTGTACCTAATTTGCTTTCTATCACAACTTGTATTACCAACCTAGAAAAATCTTTTTAGACCTTAAAACATTTTCTTAAACAACTTAAGCTTTTATGTCCCTCAATCTTATACACCTTACATTTTTTGTTGTTTTTTTTTTTTTCTGAATTTGGTAATAAGGAAAACTGTAACTATAACTGTCTCGTCTTCAACCCCATCAGAGACCCAAGAAGGATCTATTACCTGAGTAAACAGGAAGTGCAGAGCAAACAACTTCCAAAACTATAGAAACGACAGAGACATCTGGCTGCCTAGACAGTTACCCAAGGTTCCTCTGCAGTGTTGGGGCATCTATCTTTGGCCTACAGGCCTAGAATGTCTGACAGACTTTTGTGAAGCAGGAATTTTGAAGGACTGGCCTACCTTGTCTTGGCAAAGTTCAGCAGTCGCCTTCTTTGGTGTCCTACTTGTCTAAATTGGACAACATTCTGTCAGCTAGGGTAGTTTCTTGCCCAGTGGCTAACTTTGCCACAATTAATGCAAACTCCATGTGGAGGTTCTTTGATGTCCTTTTTTGAAGTAAAGGGGTGCTGCCTGGAGCAGATGTGTCTCACTGTCATGAAAAACCTTAGGTTATTAAAACATCTTAAATGCCATATTCTGTAGATCTCTGAAGTGTTTGAAGACCATCTATCTTTTAAAATATATCTCTGTTTGACCTTGAAAACATACCTACATGACTACAAGTTTGATTGTTATAGTTGACTGACTACTAACCTGCATTTCTTTATTATCCTAAATAGTTTGTAATAATAGCTTTCAAGGACCAGAACTTTACATTTTTAAATGAGCTGCATAGGTACAGTACCTTAAACAAGAGTAGAAATATATATATATACAGTATGTTCTAACAAAAACAACCTTAAATTTGTATCAGTATTCAAAAATCCATACCAATGTAAAATATTTGAGATTAATAGTTGCTTTTTAGTTTTAAAGTAGATTCAATAATATACCCTTTTATTCTACCATCCCTACATCCTCCCCCTTTTTTCTTTTCAGAATGAGATCCCTGAATCTTAATCTTCTTTGCTTAGTTTTCTTCCTGACTATGACCAGTAACAACTTGCAGGCAACCCCCCTAAATGATGATGAAAATCCATAATCCACAGAACAACCAAAAATCACCCATTCCACCTCTTGAAATGTGGGTGTCGTGTTCTTAAAATTACTTCCTGTTGTCGGGGGTGACAGCATCTTTAGGGGACCCTGAGAAAATTGAGATAATGGTCAAGTCTTGGGAGAGCTAGCTGATGTCTAATCTTGGTGTGATGGGAAAGTGCAGGGCTTATCTGAAGTCCTGACTGGAGTAGTCTACAAGGCTGGACCATCTTAGCTAACCACTTTGAAATTGTCCTGAGCAGTTTGTAGTCCAAAGCTGATCTTTGGTGGTGTTTGTTCACTTAATGGTGTTACCACAATCCATGTGGATTCATCATTATGAGGCCCCATCATTTTCTTGGAGATCCCAAAGGTCACTGTCAAGAATGGTCACAGTTCACTGCAGAAAACTTAAAACATTTTCAATGTCATATGCAGCAGATCACTGAGAAGTTTAAAGGACCACAATCTGTTAAATACATCCAGGTACACAAACTTAGTTCCTAGTTACCTGCTTCAGATTCAAGCCTTAAATCATGTACAGGAAGGTAGCTGAAGCTTATTTCTAGAATTAGTTAGTACTCTATATGACCATTCATATCACAACAGAAAGTTTACATATAGATTATAAATTATACCTTAAGATTTTAAAGAGTCGCCGGGCGGTGGTGGCGCACGCCTTTAATCCCAGCACTCGGGAGGCAGAGCCAGGCGGATCTCTGTGAGTTCGAGGCCAGCCTGGTCTACAAAGTGAGATCCAGGAAAGGCGCAAAGCTACACAGAGAAACCCTGTCTCGAAAAACCAAAAAAAAAAAAAAAAAAAAAAAAAAAGATTTTAAAGAGTCAAAACCAAAGGATTATGAGATTAGTGGCAATAGAATAGTTCCTTAATTTTGTTTTCCTTTGTCCCATACCAGGTGGCTCTTCTGACATGAGGCAGAGATTTTGGATTTTCCTTTAACAAGCATGTTTGGGTTTAGAAAAGGAGAGAGCCATGCTCCAACTCCAAAGCCAACTTTAATTTTTAATTGAATGGGACTACAAAAATACCATTTGCATTATATGTCTGTAGAGAACAGCAAAAACAAACCTTTGGGAAGATTTATGAAATTCTATCCTGTTGGAAATGTGGTATACCATTAGGCCAGTTTACTCTTTTCCAGTGTCTCATTTGCCAATGGTTTTGTCTTTAGATTCATTTGCAGATACTTGGGTAGGGTCTCGTGTAGTTCAGACTGGTTTTTAACTGGCGATGTTGCTGATGATGATCTTGAACTCTGCTCCTTATGCTCTTGCTTTCACCTCTCAGGTGCTGATATTACAAGCATGCATAAGCATGCACCACCACACCCAGCTACCTCTTTGGGTTCTTTAGGTATAAAATGTGCATTAACTGAAACCTTTATTTTACTGTATACTCTGAAATTGGTATGCAAGTGTGAAGACCTGAGTTTGCATCCTTAGTACCCATGTAGAAAGCTGGGTATAGTATGTGTGCCTGCAACCATGGGTGGGGTTGGGGATTAGGATTGTACAACAGAAAGACCAGAAAGACATCTGGGATATGATGGCCATCCTGCTTAACTGAAAAACAAACTCCAGGTTCAGTGAAAGGCCCTGTCAGGAGACTAAGACAGCAACAGAAAAGGGTACCCTCTTGCCCATGGCATATAAATGTGTGTACATATGCATACATCACATATGCATTTTTTAAAATTACTTAATAACTGACTTATGCATTCTAAAATATTGTAAAGTAACTAGAATATTGGTATTCACATCTCTCTGGCTCTTACCACTATGTGCCATGAGTATGGCATTTTCTTTTTTATTGTAACTGTTTAAAGGCAGCCAGTATTGAGGTGTTTTGTTTTGCTTTGCTTTGTTTGGTCTGACTATGTAGTCCTAATCAGCCTGGAACTCTCTTTGTAGGCTAGGCATGCCTGTGCCTTCCAAGTGTTGGAATAAAAGGTGTGTGTCACTATGCCCACCTTATGTTGAGTTTTAAGTCTTAAACTACTCATGTTGGCCATTATGTAAAAGTGCATACATACTAATATCACAGACATATGTATGATATAATGGATACATCAACTTCTTTTTTTCTATTTTAGTCTTATAAAACCAGAAGAAATATTTGGGAATTTAGTTATTCAAATTCCCTTTTTGAGCATTAATCGCTCTTTTGGTGGTCTTGACAGTCATTCAGAGTTCTGTTTACTTACTAAATTTTGTGCTGTGACCACCACTAAGAGGAGGATAGTTTACACCAAACATGAAGGCTTCTAGATATCATTTAATACATCAATGTTGTTGTCATAGCTTGTCTCTAAAAGTGTTTTGACATCTAGTGACAAACTATATTACTCTTGTACTTGGATAGTAGGTACAAACTTTTGGAATCAAAATTAGAATCCACTCTTAAGAAGTCCCTTGAAATAAAAGAAGAAAAAATTGCCGCTTTAGAAGCTCGGTTGGAAGAGTCTACAAATTATAACCAACAGTTGCGCCAAGAACTAAAAACAGTAAGTTTTTTCTTCAAAATTGCTTTATCAGTGTTTGAACAGAAAAACATAAAGAGAAAATAAAAACTCGAGTATATTTATGTTAGTATTTCATTCTGTTTCGTATATTTGGGAGTATGTATTTTCAAGTATGTAATAGTCCCTCTTATAGGTGAGGACATAGGAAGAATTGTAGAAGTGAGATAGACAAGAAGCAGGCTTATTTTGTTTCAGAAACTGATTTTTTGAGGTACTGATACCTTTCTCTGGTGCATTTTTCCTGTTGAGCCTTCAGGTAAATTTTAATCAATAAAGATATGACTATGAAGACATAGAGGACAGTCATAGGTGTGGTATAGGAAAGCAGGTGATCTGCTCACAAATAAGATGCTATCTAGATCTGTTTTCTTGTGAAATTTGGAGTTCTTGAGTGAAGTTAAACACTGTTTTCGCTGTGAGTAAATTGAAGTATAAAGGGCTCAGCTGTTTGTAGGTGGTAGAGAAGAGTCTCACTCTGTTTTACTCTGCCCTTTTCAGTCTCCTCATTGCTCCAGCAGTTGTCCTTTTCTTTACTTTTCATTTTTTTCTAGACAGGCTCTCTTGTAGCACAGATTGGCCTTAAACATACCATGTAGCCAAGGATAGCCTTGAGCTGATCATCCTACATCTTTCCTAAGCACAGGGATTGTAGAAGTGCTCTACATGACAAACAGATGGAGTGATGAGATTACTGTAGGCCACATTCAGAGCTAATCTATTCAAAATCACCCTAGGAAATACAAGTAGATGGCTAGGCAGTGTTAGGTGTCTCTCCACATAATTATGTGAAACTGATTCTTTAAAATTTTTCATTTACTTCTGTTTGTATACACACACACACACACACACACACACACACACACACACACACACACTTCACACACATGGGAGTGAGGGCACACCACAGCATGCCTGTTGCCTGTGGAGGTCAAAGGACATCGTGTAGACAACTTCTACCATATGCATCCTGGGGATCAAACTCAGGTTGTCAGGTTTGGCAGCAAACACCTTAAACTACTGAACTGTCTTGCTGGTCCATGAGACATATTTTTGTACCAGATTATGGTTCAAGTAGAACAGAAGATTCACACTGGAAAGAGCTGCCCTAGTTTGGAGACTTGATGCTTCATAATAGTCATTAAGTCTTACATTTCCAAAGGCATAAATTTAAAATCTCCAAAATGTGCATACTGATTATAAGAGTTGCTGCCTGTAGAGAAATCCAGTTATCCTGCTTTCTGTTAGGTAATTAGCTTTCCAAATAGTCTACCAATCTTGGAACCCCCCCATAAGCGTTATTACCTAATACTTGAATATTCTAGTTTTATTATGCTTTTAGAACAGTTGTTCTCAACATGTGAGTCATAACTCCTATGGAAGTTGCACATCAGATATCCTGTGTATCATATATTTACATTATGATTCATAACAACAAAATTACAGTTATGAAGTAGCAATGAAATAATTTTATGGTTTGGAGGTTACCACAACATTAAGAACTGCATTAAAAGATTGAGAGCCACTATTCTAGAGAAACAGTTAACCACATTTGAGTTTCTTCTGCAGAAAGGGAAGGCTTTTTGTTCACCATATACCTACAGCATCTTTACTGGTATTTGTCACAGATTTGCCATTGTGGAACCTACACTGGTTCAGAGTTCTGCTTTGTTGGCATAAATGATTATTAATCAGCTTTATGTCCTCAATTTCGTACTCTTAAACAATATTTGTAGGCTACAAATAATGATAACTCCATGAAGTTACTCAGCAAGAAAATAAGTAGGTTAGTACATGAGTTGGTTTTTGTGTTTTAAGTCTAAACATTAGAGATACCAAATTCCATCATTGTCTTTAACTTTAGCCATTTTTCATAATGGCTATAAACTGATTTACTCCTGTATACATGAATATGGAATTGTACTTTTCTAACCTTTCAATATTGTGCATGATGAGGCATATTACTTGAAAATAGATTCTGAAATTTAGACATAAACAATGTAAACTATGATGTAGAAATATGAAAGGGAATTTTTAAAAATCCAAAGGAAGGCAGAAAGAAACAGAACAAAGTACAGATTAGACAAATAGAAAATAAATAGTAAAGGGGAAGTTTTTAACCAAATCAGATCAGTTATATTTACTGTAAAAAGGTCTAAACATTCCCCATTCTAAAGCAGAGATGATAATATTCAGTGGAAAAGTAAAACTTACTGAAATGCCAACTACAAGAAATTTTGATTGAAAAAATATATCATTGTAACACTAATCAAAAGAAAGCTATTAGCCAGGCGGTGGTGGCACACGCCTGTGATCCCAGCACTCAGGAGGCAGAGGCAGGTAGATCTCTGTGAGTTCGAGGCCAGCCTGGTCTACAGAGGTAGTCCAGGACAGGCTCCAAAGCTACAGAGAAACCCTGTCTCAAAAAACCAAAAAAAAAAAAAAAAAAAAAAAAAAAAAAGAAAGAAAAAAAGCTATTTAAATAGTTTTATAGCAATGACTTAGCTAAAAATTTTAAAATGATTGCCGGGCGGTGGTGGCGCACACCTTTAATCCCAGCACTCAGGAGGCAGAGCCAGGCAGATCTCTGTGATTTTGAGGCCATCCTGGTCTACAAAGTGAGTTCCAGGACAGGCACAAAACTACACGGAGAAACCCTGTCTTAAAAAACCAAAAAAAAAAAAAAAAATTTTAAATGATCATTTTAGCTTTATAATATAGCAAGATTAAATGTTCTCATGTCTAACAACAGTTTCAAACTATGGCAGTATTGATAGAACTACATGGAGAATGACCTGTCCACAATTATAGTTAAAGGATTTAATACCTATCTCACATATAAAAAGAACTTTATTAAATAAATAAAGGGTGTTTATAGGTGACCTACACTGAACATCGTTCTTTTTTTTTTAATATTTTTTTAAACTTTATTTTATATGCATTGGTGTGAAGGTGTCAAATCCCCTGGAACTAGAATTACAGACAGTTGTGAGCTGCCATGTGGGTGCTGGGAATTGAACCCAGGTCCTCTGGAAGATTAGCCAGGGCTCTTAACTGCTGGGCCATCTCTCCAGCCCGTGAACATCGTTCTTAATAATAAAAGACTATTTACTTTCAGGGGGAAAAAGCAAAGATATTGCTCTCACTATTTCTATTAAACACTGTGTTGTTAGTCTTAATGTATTAGGATAAAGAAAAGAATGCTGATATTTGTGTGGGTGTGTATGCAGGTGCCTGTGGAGGTCAGAGGAGAGTGTTGGATACTCTGAAGCTGTAGTTACAGGTGGCTGTGCGCCACCTGATGTGACTGCTAGTCAAACATGGGTGCTCTGGAAGAGCAGGAAGCTCTCTTAACCACCGAACTGTAGCTAGAATTTTCCTGCCTTGCCCACAGTCAGGACAAATCTCTGTCTACCGCCAGTCCCACAGCTGCTCAGACCCAACCAAGTAAACACAGAGTATTGGTGAAATTATTAAGGCCACTCTACGTAGTTAAAAGGAGATTTATCTAATGTCGTAACTTACAAATTAAGGGATAGGTAGGTCACGGGGTCTGGGGAAGGTGTATGGCAGTCCAGCGGTGTTCTCTGGAGCTCTGCTTGGCCCACCTCCGCCGTCCAGGGTCTCGGAACCAAGTGAGAGCTCTCGTCCATCCAGATCTCAGGTCTCCAGGCACCTCCCTTGGCCCCGCCTTGTAGGCGTGACAGTTGCCGAAGTCTCAATGGGGGTTGGAACTTCCAGATCAAACCTGGAATGGCTACCCACTACAACAGAGACTTATATTGCTTACAAATTGTATGGCCGTGGCAGGATTCTTGCTAACTGTTCTTATAGCTTAAATTAATCCATTTCTATAAATCTATACCTTGCCACTGGCGTCTTCACATGCTGCTTGTCATGGTGGCGGCTGGCAGTGACTCTCTCCACCTTCCTGTTTTCTCTGTTCTCCTCTCTGTTAATCCCGCCTATACTTCCTGCCTGGCCACTGGTCAATCAGTGTTTTATTTATTGACCAATCAGAGCAATTTGACATACAGACCATCCCACAGCACCGAACCATTTCTTTAGCCCCAGAAATACAAATTTGAAAGGATGAAACATAGATACATTTATTGGCTTCTGACATGATTATTTGGGCAGGAAATTCTAAAGAATTTAAGAAAATTATATAAAGTTTATTTTATCAAGTGTCCTAGGTTAAAAGTCAGTATATAAAACTCAACCATATTTGTATATATTAGCAATGAAAAATTAAAGAAAATTAAAAAGAAAAATATAATTTATAATACTGTAAAATACCATGAAGTACTTTAAAGTACTCTGCATTGATAAAATATAAAGAGTACCTTAGTAAATGGAGGGATACCATATCATTAAGTGTTCTATATTGCTGATAGGACATATCTTAGGTTTGCAGATAGCTCAGTGGTTTAGCACTTGTCCAGATTGTGGAAAACTTAGATCTGGTCCCCAGGACTAGAATAAATAAACAGGGAGATCACAAATGAATCTGTTAATTAAATATAATACCAAACATAATCCAAATTAAATTAGAAGATAGGTTAATCAGCTGATTACAAAATTTTGGTGGAATATAGCCATTTTTAAAATACTAATTTTGCTAATCCATGAACATGAGAAGACTTTCTATCTGCTAGAATCCTTATCTCTTCTGCGTTTTAAAGATTTCTTTGTAAAGGTCTTTAGCCTCTTAGATTTACTCCTAGATGTTTTGTCTTTTTCCTGATACTTTTGTAAATGGGGATGCTTTACTAGTTCTTTTCTCAGCATACTCACCATCACTATATAGAAAACTCTGATTCTGGATGATGGTTTTGTATGTGGCTACTTCAGTAAAAGTATTTAATCAGTCAGATCGAAGTGTTTTTGATGGAACTCCTAAGGTCTTTTCCGTATAGGATCATGTTGTCCAACAATGTGGATAGTTTGACTTCTTTTTCTGTTTGCTCTTTTTTTTTATTCCTTGTCTTGCCTTACTGCTATAGCTAGGACTTCAAGTCCAGAAGAGTAACAGTAGAGAAGATAGACATTCTTGCTTCAGTCCAGATTTTCGATGAAATGGTTTCAGTTTTCCCCTGCTTAGTATAATGTTGGCTATCGGTTTGTTGAACATAGCATTTATTATGTTGAGATATGTGCTTATATTCTAATTTCTTCAAGGGCTTTTATCATGAAGAGATGTTAAACTTTATCAGAAACCTTTTCTGCATCTATTGAAGTGATGCAATGAATTGTGTCCCAGAGACCATTTAGGTTCTGCATTGCTTGATTTATAGATTTGATTTGTATGTGCCAGACTGTCCATACATCCCTGGAATGAAACCAACTTGATCATGTTATCTGATTTTTTTAAATTACTTTTTAAGTGGTGTGTGTGTATGTGTGTGTGTGTGTGTGTGTGTGTGTGTGTGTGTGTGTGTGTGTGTGTGTGTGTCAAGGGGATACTTTAAGTGTACAGGTGCCTGTGGAGACCAGAAGAGGGTGTTGAAACCTCTGGAACTGGAGTTACGAGCATTTAGTTGTTAGTAACCCAACATGGATGATGGGACATGAACTCGGGTCCTGTGAAAGAGCAGCAAGCTACCCTTAATTGCTGAACCATCTCTCCAGCTACTTTTCTAATATTTTTAAAGTGAGAGCAGTTGAGGAATACACCTCTCGTCTTCAAAGGCATGTGAACATATGTGTACACAAGCAAACATCTATAAACATGTACACAAAAGATTTTTATTAAAAACTGGAAATAGGGCTGGAGAGATGGCTCAGCGGTTAACAGCACTGACTGCTATTCCAGATGACCCTGGTTCAATTCCCAGCTCCCACATGGCAGGTCACAGCTGTCTGTGACTCCAGTTCCAGGGGACCCAACACCAACAGCAAAACACCAATGCACATAAAATAAAATAAATAAATAAAAGATTTTTAAAAAACTGGAAATAACTCAGTGATCCTCATCTGATAATTGAATAAAGAAATTTTGTTATATCCATATAGTAAGAGACAGTACAACAGTAGAAAAGAGGAAAAAATTATTGATTCATTTAATATATTAGTAAAGCATAAGAATATGCTCAGAAAAATATACATAAAAAGATTACATATTGTGTAATTACATTTAGAGCATGCAACACTAAATTTGGTGAAAAAAAACATAACAGTTTTGTCTTGTAAGTAGTGATCCTTCTAAAGTGATAGAAATACTCTTATCCTGTTGATAAGTTACATGGATATATGTTATTTTAAAAAATAGACCACATATCTCTTATAATCAGTGCATTAGAAACTATATATAGATTATACCTCAGTTCTAAAAGGTTATATTATCTTTGATAATCACTGAAAATTTGAAATGACAGTATAATTTATAATATCATTATTAATTGCTTTAAACTTTAACTTAATGGACTTTTAGTTTTAAATTGACTCTGCATTGCTTTGTTGTAGAATATTTTGTTTTAATTCACACTTTATTCATTTCCTGTGTGAATATAAGGATTTTGATTAATGACATGTAAGCTAAAGGAACACATGAACAGAGTATAACTCAGAAACATTGAATTTTATTTCCAGCTCTCCTATTTTTGTTTGTTATTTTCCACTCTTGTTATCAAACACAGTTGAACTCTTCTTGCAAAACAAAAACAAAATAGTATATACCTGACATAACACTTTTCTTCTTATGTAAGCTCTCCTTAATATTGCCTTTATTTGACCACAGCTTTTGTAAGCCTAGAAAAAAGACTGTGTGAGAAAACAGAAGTATCCAAGATCTTCGGCCATACTTAACATTCCATTCCATCTTAGCTTTTTTTCTTTTCTTACCATTTTCTAACTCACTAGTAGTAATACTAGTTTACTGCTGAATTAATAAAGGCTTCCTTAAGTTTTGTACAACATGAACTATTTCAATCATTTCTGCCCTTAATATAAACTATGATGCTAATTTTTAAATGTACTATAAATATCTAAAATAAACTAGTAGATCAAGATAAGTATAATAGTAAATTTGAATTAAAGATGGGATAGCTCAACAGTTCAGAGTATATACTGTTCTTTCAGAGGATCTGAGTTTGGTTCCCAGCACCCATATTAGGTGGATCACAACCACCTGTAACTTCAACTCCATGGGATCTGAAGCCTCTGGCCTTTGCAGATTTCTGTACTCAAATGCACAGACACACACACACACACACACACACACACACACACACACACACACACACACACACTCATTTAAAAATAGCATATTTAGGGATTAGGGAGATGGCTTAGCAATTAAGAACACTGGCTGCTCTTCCAGAGACCCTGGATTCAATGCCCAGCATCTACATGGCAGTTCACAACTGTTGATAACTCCAGTTCCAGGGGATCCTCTACCCTCTTCTGTCCTCAGCAGGCACTGCATGCACATGCTGTACACACCTTCATGAGATAAAACATTCATACACAGAATCTGTTTGAGAGCTGTTAAATTTGGCAACTTTTGATCATAGAAGATGATCAAGTTTTTTCATGTTAGTAGCAGTTCAAACCTGTGTATTACTCAGTCTTTTCTGGTGTTATTGCAACCTACTTTAAGTCAATTTGAGGCCCAGTGTGGTGGCTGACATCTCCGTTTTAGCACTTAACAGGTGATGGAAAGTGAGATCAGGAGTTCAAGGCCAACCTGGGGTGTAACACAAATTGCTAAACTGTCCTATTAATAGAAAACCTGGAGCCAGATATTGGGGTGAAAGCTGAAAGATCAGAGAAACAGAACAAGCCACAGCCAACCTCACCTTACCAACTCCTCAGCTTCCAGAAATACTTCCTCTATACTCAGGCCTTATATACCTTTCTGTGCCCTGCCATCTTATTTCCTCACTCCACCCAGCTCTGTCACTTCCTGTCTGTCTATAGAGACCTCCAGACCTCTGTGGTTAATAAGTGCTGGGATTAAAGGCGTGTGTCACCATGCCTGGCTTTGTTCCCAGTGTGGCCTTGAATTCACAGAGATCCAGATGAATCTCTGCCTCCCGAATGCTAGGATTACAGGCGTGTACTACTACTGCCTGACCTCTGTGTTTAATATAGTGGCTGGCTTTGTCCTCTGATCCTCCAGGCAAGCTTTATTTGTTAGAACAGAAATAAAATATCACCACACCGGGTCTTCATTTACAATTTATTTGTATGTGTAAGTGTGTTTATGTGTGTTGTGGGGGTGGGAGTCCTGAAGCTGGAGTTAGAGATGATTGTGAACTGTGCAAACATGGGTTCTCTGGAAGAGCAAGAAGTGCTTTTAACCACCAAACCATCTCTCTAGCCCCTAAATCTGTATTTCAAAAAGCTTTTGATCACAGTAATGGTAATCACACATTTATCACATTTTTAAATAATCTGTCATATTCACCAGACCAATACAGACCCTAAGTAATTGAGAAATATAAAAATCTTGGTGATTTTTTTCCCATTAAAATATTTTAAATAATTTTAGGTGAAAAAAAATTATGAAGCTCTCAAACAGAGACAAGATGAGGAAACGATGGTGCAGAGCTCCCCTCCTGTCTCTGGGGAAGATAATAAATGGGAGCGAGAAAGTCAAGAAACGACCAGAGAACTCCTGAAAGTTAAAGACAGGTTAATCGAAGTAGAAAGAAATGTAAGTATTTTAAAAATTTTAGTGGGAACAAAATTCTTCAGAAATAATGAATTGTTGGATATATTTATCTTTTATTAATTTATTTTGTACTTTCTTGTCTAGCTTATCATATAAAAAAAGATCTAAATTTAGTATGCTTTGCTCCTTGCCCTCTTGTAAGTCAGCCACAAGCTTAATCAACACTCTGTATCATGTAGACGGTGCAATCAAGTTCTTCTGCCAGTCTAAGGTGTGGCCCCGGATTATCCTCAGCCTCTGTATGTGCCTTTCAGGCTGACTTGGGAAAAGACTTCCTTCCTTGGTTGTTTTCTACCAGGGAATTCCTTCAGTAGTAGTCACGATTTAAGCTGTCTCCTTTGAAATCAATACTGATTTTCATAAAATGGAGTCTTGTAGTCAGGCCACTTTTGATGTCCCAGTGAAGAGCACAAGACTTCTCTTTAATGGTTCTAATCTCTTTAATAATTGCAGCTGCTGTCTCAGAACCTGTCTTGTACTTTGTAACCTCTCCTTGTTGTCAGCCATTTTTGGATCTTTGCTTTCCTTGTTTGTCCTTCTGGCTGTGGGAACTGTAAGTGTTACAGCTGGGATGGAAAGGTATCCTGGCAGCCAGGAGCCAACAAATACCACAAAGTCATCCGAGATATTTTGGGAGGGAGAAAAACAGGAGGGTGGCTGCCTTTGCTTGGGTGAGAAACAGCAGCAAACTGAACAGAATACAGGATTTATATAGAGTTTCTTGGGAAGGGGGTGAAACTTTTCAGTGTGGAGCTTTCCACAGTGGAGATGGGTGGGATTTCATGTCCAAGAGAGTGGGCTTTTTACTCTGTGGGGTGGGGGCAGAGTCCAGCAGTTAGAGTAGTCTGTGGGTGGAACCCGGCAGTTAGAGGTCCTTGGGGAAGGGACTTACAGTAACCATGACATGGTGTGAATGCTATCCTGTTTTGAGATTTCCTCCACCAAAGCAATTTGTCCATGACTTTTGAATTCAGTGTCTTAGTACATGGGAGGAATATAACCAGATTGCTTGCCACAGTATAACGTGAATGACTTCTATCTAAGTTCTCCACAGAGTTTTCCCACTGTCTGTGTTCCTCTTCTGCTCTCAAAGCCCCACCAGATTGGCCCTTGCTTATATTATTCTAGTGCTTTTCTAGCCCAAAGTTCCAAACTCTTCCCTATTGTTCCTGGATTCTACCCCCAAAGGCCTGAGGACTATATGGCCAGGTTATCACAACAGCCCCACTTTGTAACAATATTCTCTATTCGTTACAAAGATACTTGTCAGAAGCAACTTAAAGAAGGAAAGATAGGTTCACAGTTCGAGGATGGAGTCCATCAAGGCAGGGAAATCATGGCGACAGGAGCCTGAGGCACTGCTCATATTGCATCTGCAGTCAGGAAACATGGAGATACTGCTCCGCTCACCTTTTCATTTCTGTTCAGTCCTGTACTCCAATCCCTGTGACGGTGCTACACACACCAGTTAACCCAGTTCCCTCACAGACACACCCAGGTTTGTTTCCTAGATAGTCTAGATCCTGTCAGGTTGACATTCATTTTTAACCATCACATCATGTATGACTGGCTTGGCTACATGGTGAGTTCAAGACCAGCCTAGACTATATGATACTCTGTGTGGCCAGGCAGTGGTGGTACACACCTTTAATCCCAGCACTAGGAAGGCAGAGACAGGAGGGTCTCTGTAAGTTCAAGGCCAGCCTGAACTCACTACAGAGTGAGTTCCAGGACAGGCTCCAGCGCTACAGAGAAACCCTGTCTCAAAAAACAAAAATAAAATAAAACAACGTGTGTGTGTGTGTGTGTGTGTGTGTGTGTGTGTGTGTGTGTGTGTGTGTGTATCTGAACAAGATGTCTTTTTTTTCATCCTCTCAACAGATGATTTAAAAAGAGAACAGTATAACTATCTGCCTCAGCTTCTGTGTGTTTACTTGTTGCTGTTTCAGTTGTTGTTTGAGACAGGTTCTCCATATGTAGCTCACACTCACAGTCTTGCTCACCTGTCTCCCAGTTTCTGATGTTTCAGGCTGTTATTACAGCCACATCTACACCTTGCTTCCTCAGTCTTGATTTTATGGGGTCAAATCACAACCTCCACTTTACACAGTGATATGTTGTTTATATTTATAAAAGTGAAGTTTTCTTTGTCTTCTATTGAAGATACAGCAGAACTATTGTGATTCATTGTGTATCATTTTTCTATGTAGTCAGTACTACATAGTAAGTAGTTAGCCTAATTAGGGTTTTTTTTGTATATTAGAGTTTTATTTCTGTTATATGGTAGATTCTTTGATTATGCTTTTTAGTACAAATTTAGATTTTATGAAATGTAATTTATAAGTAATTAATCTTAAATGTATAATATCCATGCCTACCATTTTAATGTCCACGACTAATATAGTAATTCACTTGTTTAACCATAAGAAGAAAATATGGCTATATATGCTAGAAAATTGAAAATGATATAATTTTTTGGATATACTTCAGAAGTCCTTACAGTTGAAATATAGTTTTAGTGAGGGTTTTATAACTTAGAAAAAGGAAAACTAAACGTAATGCCTGGCAGGTCATTATGAACTGCACTTTTCTTTTTTTTTTTTTTTTTTTTTTTTTTTTTGGTTTTTCGAGACAGGGTTTCTCTGTGTAGCTTTGCGCCTTTTCCTGGAACTCACTTGGTAGCCCAGGCTGGCCTCGAACTCACAGAGATCCGCCTGCCTCTGCCTCCCGAGTGCTGGGATTAAAGGCGTGTGCCACCACCGCCTGGCTAACTGCACTTTTCTAATAGATGGCTCAAATTATTTGTGTAAATCTGCTTTCTTCCAAGTATGTTTGTTTTGAAAGTACATATTTTTCCTTCTAACCCAGGATCACCACTTACCCATGTATGCATGGAAAAGGTACACCTTTTTAATTGGATACAGTCTAGGCATGTATTCTACCACTAACCTACACCCTCAGCACTAGAAGAAAATATTTTATTTTAGGACATCATAAAGCAGACAGAACACAGGCACAATAGTATTTTAAGGTTACAGCAGTATTGCATCCTTTTTTATGCATTAAATATGTACAACTTGTGATTAAGCGGGAAGGTTTTTCTTTTTTTAAGATTGCTCAAGCTCATTTTATTAAATACATTATCTGTTAAAGAAACTGTCTTGTGTTTATTTTTAATGAGTGTGGTATCTTCCTCTTGTTTGAAGAATGCTACGCTGCAGGCAGAGAAGCAAGCGCTGAAGACTCAACTGAAGCAGCTTGAGACGCAGAACAGTAACTTGCAGGCTCAGATTCTTGCACTTCAGAGGCAGACAGTGTCATTACAGGAGCAGAATACCACTCTTCAAACACAGAATGCCAAACTTCAGGTTGTACCAAACATTTTAATTCTATAGTCTTATAGTAAGGAAACCTAGATATGTAAACACTGTTCCTTAGTGAATTTAATTATGGAAGGTAGATGGAAATTTTTTTTTTTTTTTTTTTTTTTGGTTTTTCGAGACAGGGTTTCTCTGTGTAGCTTTGCGCCTTTCCTGGATCTCGCGCTGTAGCCCAGGCTGGCCTCGAACTCACAGAGATCCGCCTGGCTCTGCCTCCCGAGTGCTGGGATTAAAGGCGTGCGCCACCACCGCCCGGCTGGAAATATTTTTGTTTGCTTCTATGCCGGACTCTTAATGTGAACATTTTAAATGTCAAAGTCTGTATAAATTACTAAATTCACCCACAGTGTAAGTGAAGATGATCTTTTTGTCCTTTCAACAAGTTGATTCTAATCAATTGGGTGCAAACCCCTTATTTCAGAGTATGATTGCAGTACAATATTCTTTATGTCATTCTTAAAACATTCTTAGAAGTTTAGTTTTTGAAATGTATACAACATAGGAATTTTGTCTTTAGATTTCATTTAAAGGATATATTTGATGTAATCCAAAGGATCCATCTTCAACTTTACAATACCAGTGCCAGTTTACACAGAATAGTCCAGACTGGAGAAAGGAAACTGGTCTAAGTGGTGAAGTAAATGCTAATTTAGACACTACAGAGACTTTCCAAAAATAGTTCAAACAAGTAACCTTAATTCTTTGGGAAGCTATAATCCAAATTACTCTATTAGAATATGAATATATCTGCCGTGATGTAATTAGAGCTTATTTAAGTTAACATTGTAACATTTTGTTAAAAAGAGCAACAAGTGGGTTTACGGAGATAGCCAGCTCAGGCAGTAAAGCACTCCCAATCGGGAGGACCTGGGTAGCAAATGCTTACCATTCCAGCGCTAGGGAGGCACAGACAGGTGGATCCCTGCAGCTCACTTACTAGCCAGCCTTGCCTAAGGGTAAGTCCTAGGCTAGGAAGAGACCTTGTCCTTAAAAAAATAAAAATAGCCGGGCGGTGGTGGCGCACGCCTTTAATCCCAGCACTCGGGAGGCAGAGCCAGGCGGATCTCTGTGAGTTCGAGGCCAGCCTGGGCTACAGCGCGAGATCCAGGAAAGGCGCAAAGCTACACAGAGAAACCCTGTCTCGAAAAACCAAAAAAATAAAAAAATAAATAAATAAATAAATAAAAATAAAAATAAAAAAAAAATAGGACTAACAAGATGGCTCAGCAGATAAGGATGCTTGCTGTTAAACCTGAGGCCTGGAGTTCTGTCCCTGCAGTCTATATAGTAGAAGCATGGAGCTCACTCCAGCAAGTTGTCCTCTCGCTTCCACGTGCATGCCACTGCATACATAAACTTCTTGTTCTCACTATCACTCGCTCACTTAGTATTTGAACTCCCACAGATCTGCCTACCTCTTCTTTCTAAATGCTGGAATTAAAGGCATTTATCACCATGCCTGGCAACTTTTTCTTACACCATTAATAATACACACATTCTTACAGGTTGAAAATTCCACCCTTAATTCACAAAGTACTTCACTTATGAACCAGAATGCACAGCTTCTAATCCAACAGTCTTCTTTAGAAAATGAAAATGAATCTATAATCAAAGAACGAGAAGACTTGAAATCTCTTTATGATTCTCTGATAAAAGATCATGAAAAGCTAGAACTTCTTCATGAACGGCAGGCTTCAGACTATGAATCTCTCATCTCTAAACATGGAACCCTAAAGTCTGCCCACAAGAATCTTGAGGTGGAACATAAAGACCTTGAAGACCGGTAATTTATATTTTATTGTATTTTCTAAAACAAATTTTTGGGTAGTATAATAAATTTTATACATTAAACCTATCTCAGATAATTTATGAGGTGAATTTATATAAATTTACATGTTTTGTGTGATATTTGTTAAATTAATCCTTTCCTTCTTTTTAAAAATATTTTCTTTGTTAGAACTGTTTAAAGCCAAATATCTAACTTTCTCTCCCCCTCCCCAGTTACAATCAGTTATTAAAACAGAAAGGACAATTGGAAGATTTAGAAAAAATGATCAAAATGGAACAAGAAAAAATGCTGCTTGAAAGCAAAAACCATGAGATGGTAGCTGCAGAATACAAGAAACTTTGTGGTGAAAATGATAGGTAATGATACTATTTATGTATTTTACTTTCTATCCCTTATCTCTGGAGAGAGAGAGAGAGAATATGAGTGAGTTAGTTTGTGGTTGGTATGTGTGTTTATAATAGCACCCAAAATTTGGACTTACCATGGACTTTTTATGTTATTTTGAGCAGCAGACACTTTATTAACTATGCCATCTTCCCAGCCCATTGTACATGTTTGTATGCATGTTCGTATGTGTACAGGTGCACATGTACACAACTCAACTTTATAATTATCTTGCCCTCTTCCTTTCTTTTTGAAAGGTCCTAAATCACTAGAACCATCTTCATCTTGATACTCAAATTCTGAATTAGTGTCCTATACTTATTATAGCTAGATATTCTGTTGTGAAGATCTTGAGCTTAAGTAAGCACAGTACAAAGTTAAAGTAGACTGTAGCTTATAGAGGATGGTGTATGGATAGCACAGGCACTTGAAGACTGTATTGTGACAAGTTATAACAGAGAGAGGAAGGGTTTTTTTATTGCATAACAAACTTCAGAGAAGTGTAAAGTCTCATCTTGTAGCTGACCATTGCTGGTATTTTAAAAATAACAGGAATAGTTCGTGGACATTAGTTGGGCTTTCCAGGCATCAAACTATACATTTCTGTGGAGCCTCCAGAAGAACAACTTAATCAAAATGAAAAAGAACGATGATACGATGAGTTTGACCAAAAGAATGCTCCAAGCTTGGGATGAGTGATCTCAAGTAAAGTGTTTTCTGTGTCTCAAGCCTGTTCTTGTCCAGGATGTATTTATTAATGTCTGTGTTCTGTGAAAAGAAAGGCTTTATTAAGTAAAACGTGAAAGAGCTATTACACACGCATGTGCACACACACACACACACACACCTTATCTTAGGACTGATAATTCTAAATAGCCTGTTTAGTCACGGATAATGCCAAAGAAAGTTTCTTTCTTAGACTATGTTATTTTGCCCTCTGTTGTTCACTGGATTTCATTTGGCACTATTGTTTTAAAGGACAATATAAAAAAAATTCAGAATTTACTTTAGCACTCATTTTTAGGAGGTTTTGGGGTGTGTATGTATGTATTTGTTTACATGTTTGTGTGTGGGTTTGTGAGAGCATGGAAGTAAGAGGTTAGCATCCAATGTCTTTGACTACATTTCACCCTTTTTTCCATTTTCATGTGTGGTGTGATGTTGTGGATGAGTGTTTGCATGAGTGGGGCATAGGGGATACATGTAGAGGTACAAGATGGATGTTGGAAAATCATTCTTTAATACTCTTCCACCTAATTCATTCTTGGCAGGATCTCTCAAGTCAAATCAGAGCTCACAGATGTGACTAGTCTCACTACTCTGTTTGCCTTGGGGATCTCCTGCTTCCAATTTCCAAGACCAAAATTACACTGGGCTACCTGGACCATTTTGCACTTTTGTGTGTTCTGGGGATCCCAAGAAAGGTCCTCGGGCTTGCATTTCAAGCACCTTAGCCACTGAGCCACCTCTTAGTCCATCTACTTTATTTATTTTAAGCTTTTAAATTTTATTTTATGTGTATTAGTGTTTTGCTCATGTGCATGTCTGCACCATGTGCATGCCTGGTGCCCTTGGAGGTCAGAAGAGGTGGATCACCTGGAACTGGGCCTATAGACTGCTGTAAACAGCCCTGTGGGTGCTGAGAATCAAACCAGGTCCTGTGTAGGAACAGCAAGCACTACTAACTGCTGAGCTGTCCCTCCTGAGTGCCACCATGGTTTTTTGAGACAGGTTCTTTGACTGAACCTAGAGCTCATTGAGTGGCTGGCTTTAATGACAGCCGTCTCACTCATTTTAGTATCTCTGTTAAACCAGACTTCCTCCATAGGTGTTGATATATACTAGGTAGCTGTATGAGTGATAATGCTTTTGTTCATAGAGTTCACCTATTTATAGTGTATTTGCCAGCTATATGAGGGATTTCACCATTTTTTCATCATATCTTGATTTTTAAAAATATTTCATTGCTTAGATTTTTGTAAGCTGACTTGAATTCTTTGATGAATGAATTGAGTGAACTATTAGGTATTCTGGACAAAGACCACCTAGGCAAAATTGTGCTTTGTTCTCTATGCCCCTTTTGTGGAATCCAATCTTAATGATGTAACATAAACTTGGCAGGTTACATCCAGTTTAGTGGAACAAATCCAGCTATCTATCTGTGTCATGCATGACAGCCCCCAAACTAAAAAAGTAAAGTATTTTGAAGAGTTAGTAGGGTGGGGGGAAGTATAACGCTATAGGGAATGCATATGGCCTATGTCTTATTTATTTACTTTCTTGTTTTAAAACAATATGTCAATCTCTGTCCTTAGAGATCAATAAAACTTTGTTTTGAAGGTAAATTGTGAGAAGAAAGACAAATAGCTATAGCTTGATTTTCATAACGTGGTAAGTGGGGATTACATAAAAATTAACAATTTGCCACAATTACAGAAAGCTACATATCTATAATTTGTTTGCTGCCTGTATTTCTCAATTTTCAGCCAGCATATTGGTTTAGTATTTAATACTAGATTGACTGATTAGCTTAACCTGATCTTTGTTCATGTTTAATTTAGAATCTGAAATTTCCATGAAATCAAAACCAAATTGGTCATTTTTCCTTTTCATACTAATTTTTGGAGAAAAACTGATTATTGATCAATTAGTAACTGGCAAAAAATTTACATTTTCTAAATATGTCTGAATGATATTAACAGCATTTTCACATTGTGAAAACTATTGAAATATTTCTGTTATGATTTCTAATTGTAGGTTAAATCATACATATTGTCAACTTCTAAAAGAAACTGAAATTTTACAAACTGACCATAAAAATTTGAAAAGTCTTTTAAATAATTCTAAATTGGAACAAACAAGATTAGAAGCTGAATTTTCAAAGCTAAAGGAGCAGTATCAGCAACTGGATATCACATCTACCAAGCTAAATAACCAGTGTGAGGTGAGTGCCAACAGACTCAATCATTGTTCCTTCTTTTAGGTGTCACAGCATGCCTAAAAAGTAATGAGTAGTATTATAATGACAATCTTGGTATAGACTTACTGGTGTGTGAAAAAGGATTGGTCACACATACTTAAAATTCACAAGTAATTAAGAAAAACTGTATTTATTTCATCCCCTTTCATTCATTGTTCAAACTTAAATGTCCAGATGCTTTCAAATTGTCACATTATGTGGTTGTTTATTGAAAAATGTTTTTGTACTTGTAGCATGAAATTATAAACCAGTAGGATGGAAAATTAGTTTGTAATCATGTACACTTAAATACCCAACAGAGCTCAGAAAGTTCAAAGCATTCTTTCTACCTGTGATTTGAGTCTTAAAAATATGTATATAGTTAGGATTCTTCTAGAATGGTAGAGTGAAGAACAGTCCTTAATAAACAGCAAAATAATTAGATAATACTGGAGGAGGTGGGAAGCCACATTTTAGGACTCCAGAACTCAAAAGAGTGGCGTACAAAATAAAAATCAAGGTGCACTTTTGTTTAGTAGCATGCTGCATTTGTACCTTGTGGCTTCTCTGCTCTGTTCTCTTCCCCTTCCCTGGTTGATATTGGAGCAGAGAAGTCATTGCAAGAGGGTGGAGAAAGAAAAGAGAAGTGCAGTTTTTCTTTTAGTTTTTTATTATTTTATGTATATAGGAGTTTTACCTTTTTTGTGTATAGTGCCTGCAAAGGCCAGAAGACATCAAATTCCCTGGAATTAGAGTTACAGATAGTTGTGAGCTACCAACTGGAAGCTGGGAATCAAACCTGGACTCTCTGCTAGAGCAGTCAGTGCTTTTCACTGTGGAGCCATCTCTCTAGCCCCCATGTTTCCACAAATGTACCACATAATGTTAATTTAGCAAACATGTAAATAAACTGTCATAGTACAGTGTTGATAGTTGCTGCGTAGAGATGGTGGTTTACATGTACTTAGAATAAATAATCATTCTTCCTGATTTTCTGTATCATTTGAGAAGTTTCAAATGTTGGCTTTCTTTTTCCTTTGGGCAAGGGTAGATTATGAGGGATTGTATACTGGTAGTTCTAGGAGAGCACAGGATACAATATTGGGAAGACTGACTTGATTTGGTAAAGAGTAGAGAAAACCCCTGTCTCTGAGAGTCATCAAAGTCAACTTTCAGATAGCCTGAGGTTGAAATACTGGTTTAGGCAAATAGACCAATGAACTGGTGAGAAATTGAACTAGGAGTCCCAAGAAATGAGACAGCTACACTGAGTTTGGTAAAATAACACATGTCCCTGATGATCTAGAAGGCTACTCAGAAAAGATTAGAGAGGGTGCAGTCTATCTGCCCAAGCTGATTGTAATAATTTGAATAAAAGATTAGCCCTTGACGGGATGTGAAATGATATATTATTAAGATTTGGAGAGGTAAAGACATTAACCTGTTGTAAGAGGCCAGTGTAAGTAAGTTGGTTGCAACTCTGTGGTTTTGGTCCCGGGTTTCAGCACCAACATGTAAGTAAATTGGTTGCAACAATTCTGGGAAAGGTGTCCTGACTACCTGGGGAGTCAGGCAACACCTTCAGCTGCTAAGGACAGCTCTAACGGCTGGAACTGGAAGGAGACAGTTCAGCCCTGGAGGGCGAGTTATCCTGGACACCTCGAGCAACAACAGCTCTGCCCTGAAGGTGTCCTGGACACCTGGAGCTGCTGGAACTGCAAAGAAGCAGCCCAACCCTGGAAGGGAAATTTTTCTGACTTCTCAGGAAAGTCAGGCCTGGAACTGCTTCAACAGGGAAGGGTCTCCTGACTGTTCAGGAAAGTCAAGGTATACCTGCTGTGATGGGGGATGGTCTCCCCATAGGATATAGCAATCCTGCCCCTCTCCTGGAGAGCTGCTACAGCTGAGCTTTGCTCAGCCCCCACTTAAGGGGGCTTCCTAGCAGAGCTCTGCTTCTCTGGCCTAAGATGTTGCTTTTTTTGCTTCACTCTGCAAAAGGGGAAACCCCTGCAGAAATTTAGCAATCTCCTCCTGCTCCTGAGAAAAGTGTTACTTTTTCATCTCTCTCTTGCTCTGTCCACTGAGGGACGTCTCAGCAAGGATCTTCTCTACGCCAGTGAATGAAGATCTTCACACCCAAAACTTTCGAGAAAGAGATTTATTTGGGAAGGAGGAGTCAAGGAGAGTAGCTGCCTCTACCAGGGTGGAGAGAACAGCCTTTTTTTCTTTTTTTTTTTTTTTGGTTTTTCGAGACAGGGTTTCTCTGTGTAGCTTTGCGCCTTTCCTGGAACTCACTTGGTAGCCCAGGCTGGCCTCGAACTCACAGAGATCCGCCTGGCTCTGCCTCCCGAGTGTTGGGACTAAAGGCGTGCGCCACCACCGTCCGGCATTTTTTCTAACTGATTAAGCAGGGTGGTTTTCACAGGATGTCTTGGGGGTGGAGTCAACCAGGTGTTGACTTGGGGCCCAGGGTTCTACTGTCCTGCTCTGTGATTGGTTGGTTTCACAAGTCAGTTGGCCAGGGGAAGAAATGGCTCTGATCTGACTGAGCCAAACTGTGTTTCTTTCTGCCCTGATTTAAGCCATCTTTACCTAGTTTTGGGCTCCAGGGTCAGGGTGGGTTTCTTTAGCCAGACCCTTTTCCCTACATTCCCCCCTTTTTTGTTTAGTAATAAGCAGCTGAGGTTTGAAAAGGGTAATAAGCAGCTGGGGATGGAAAGGGGGCGAAGTTATTGTTAGACTGCTTCCTGCTGAATTGGGGTGTCGAGGTTCTTGGGACAATCTTGATCTTCTTCCTCAGGATGTAACCAGGTTCTGCAGATCTCTTGGCTTTGTCAATAGGGGCTGGTAATCCTGTAATATTAACTGGTTCAGAGTTTGGTTCAACATATTTTGGATCTGTTGCTGAAGAAAACTAGCAAAGAGGTTTATGAGGCAAGGTGCAAATTAGTATGGCTAAGAAAAGAGGGGATAAGAAGGGTAGCATCCATTTCCATATCTGACTATTAGTGATCCACTGGCTGGAGGTATCAAGCTGTTTCTGAGTTTGAAGATCCATTTGGAATTGTTGGGTCTTATCTTTCACTACCCCTGATTGGTTGACATAAAAGCAACTTTATTCCCCAAGACAAAGACCACCTCTTTCTGCTGTTAATAAATCTAATCCTCTCCAGTTTTACAGTACTACAGTGGCCAGAGACTCTATTTGTTCCTGAAGAGTAAGAATAGTCTGAGCTACCTGTTGGAAATCCTGGATGAATTGTGAGGAAAGCTGATGGTAAATAGGTAGGGAAGTAGTCAGTCCTGCTGTTCCAGTGGCTGTACCTGCAGTTATGCCAGGGGCTGCTAGGAAGGGTATTATTTGGATGGCTTGTTTGTCATGCCTTGCTGCAAGGGTTCTTTACCAGGTACCACCCCTAATTTGGGAAACAGGAATACCAGGGTACAAGGCCCAGACTACCTATCAGGTAAACAGTGATAAACTTGAGTACCACAGAGAATAGAGGCATTGTGAATGTTTGTACATAGGGACTGGGTGACAGTACCAAGGGTAATGGTATTGTTGCAGTCTGTGGAATCCAGAGTACCCACAAAATGTATTCCTAAGGAGTTAAAGCAATCTGTAATGCCAAAGAAGGGAATGTGAGAGAGATAAGGTGTAGTAGTGACATTTGGCTTGGAGCAGTTAACAAGTGGTAAGGTGAGAGAATCTAATAGGACAATGGGTGAGGCCACAAATAGTAGGTGAACATTTGACCCTGGGGGGACACATAACCATCATTCTCCAAAATGGTCAGCCTAAGCATCACTCAATAGCTGATATGTGGTAGTTAGGGTCTGAAATGAGATGGTGTGACAAGGAGGTGGGATCAAGAAAAGAGGTTACATTAAGGATGTAAGAGCCTTTGGGGAGCTTGAACTACTTCTACTCTATCCATCATTCCTAGGGACTGAGAGAGTCGAATGTGTGCCCTCTATAATGTGAGCATATCTGGTGGGTGGATTTGATAGATGGTAAAGCTTCCCAGTGACTCCCATTTTCCAGTTGGAGTGTCATGGGTCCTTAATCAGAATGTAAAAAATTCTTCATTCTTCATAGCAGGTAGAGTGTTTTCCTGCATATGCATTATGTTTCCAGCAGTCTCCAGACCCTACCACATGAGTGGTCTGGTTGAAATGCTGGGCATATGTCTCCTGAACCTTAAATCTCCAAATGTGAGTTTGATAGCAATATGAGTGAGTGGGAAGAAGTAGAAGGAGAAAAGGTTGGGCACAACCTGATAGGGTGGGGCATGAGCCTTGACAGGTTGATGAGGTCTCATTTTTCTGAAACCAGAGGCAGGCTGGTGGTCTGTATATAGTTTTTGGGGTTGTCTCTTCGCTAATTGACAAGCACAGGTTAGAACTATCAATTCAGAATGCTGATTTGTGGTATGGGCTGGAAGAGCTTGTGTTTTGACAACTATGGTATCTGAGATGATAACATATCCTACTCCACATACTCCTTCATATAGGAATGCACTGCCATCTGTATACCATGTATAAGTGGCCTGAGGTAATGCTCCTTCATGCATATGTATTGGATAGAGTAGTAACTTTCCTAGGGTCTCAATGCATGAGTGTGAAGGGGAGTATTCCAGGACTGGTTGGGAGAGAAGATTTGAGATGTTAAGAGGTGGACATGGTTGAAAAGTCAGTGTTGTGTTCTCTACCAATGCCACCTGAAGGGAGAGAACTTGAGAGGGAGGTAATGTTTGAAGGCCCTTATATGTTAAAAGGTGTGACAGGTGGTGAGGAGAAAGGACAGTATTGGGTGACCCAAAGGTTGGCTTCATAAGGAGGTGCTTTCCATCGGGGGTCTCAGGATCCAGGTTGGTACATTGTGAGAGGGCCTTTGTAAAGCAGTTGAGGAATTCAGATGGGTTTTCAGTTTTTTTCTAGATGACCCTTTGGACTTTTTTATAATTTACTGCCTTAAGGACAGCTCTGCAGAGACCAGCTAGAAGGCAGGTTATAAACCTATTCCTAGCTAGGATGTCTCCTGGATTATTGTAATCCCATCCAGGCTCCTGGTCTGGGACTGCCCTAGCCCTCACTGGGTAGGTGTTATCTGTTTGATGGAGTTCGTCTGCATGGGCCCTCGCCTGCTCCCAGACTTGCCTGGGAGGAGATTGTTGGTAAGGATCATATAGACATCGTGAAAGGTAAGGTCATAGATTGGGTAATGTACTGGAATTCTTTAATAAAAGTGGAAGAATTGGCAGTATAGGACCCTAACCTTTTTTCTATTTGGGAGAGCTCAGATAACAAGAAAGGGACATTTACCCTGACTAGACCATCCACCACAGCAACCTCTCGCAAAGGGAGAACTGGGCCTGGTTTAGATCGAGGAGGTACAGGAGGTCCCAAGGTAGAGTGGGATCAAGTAGCAGGAGGACTAGGGCTGTCAGTGAGCTGCAAGTGGGTGCCAGGGAGGGTTGATCTGGTGGATGATCCGTTTCTGAGGAGGGAGAGAGGGAAACTGAGGGGACTGGAAGAGAGGGAGCTATGGGCTTTGGCTTTGGTTTATTCAGTGGAGGGAGGCTCATTAGCTGGATCAAAAGAAATTGTTTCATCCTGCTCTGATTTCATAGCTAGCAATAGCTGGGTGGGGGAACAGGAGGCACAGAGAGAAGTCTTGGAGCAAAGGTAAGAGAAGGCTTTTGCATATAGGGTCTCTTTTCATTTCCCTGATTGCTCACAATAGTTGTAAAGGTCCCATATAATATTGGAATCTAGTGTGCCGTTATGGAGCCATTTAGATTGATTATCTAAAGGATAATGAGGCCAAACTTCATTGCATAGGCGAACAAGTTTAGGACCTTTCAAATTAGGAGCCAGGTGTAAAGGCTTGAGATTTTCTAGGAGGCATCCCAAGGGGGTATGAGAGGGTATGGAGTGCAGGGTTCCCATGGATGAGAGGGGAGGGAAATAGTCACTGTAGCCTGTAGTCACAGGCATCCCCTGGACTCAGGGAGGACCGAACAGGGACCAAGCTATTCAGAGGGTTGTCACCCAACTCAACGGGGGTCCAGCTTAGCTTGGCTAAGGCAACGGAGAGACTCAGGTGCCTGGTACCAGGGCTTCAGTAGAAGTGATATGAGGAGAGAAAACCGAGCTCTAGGGGAAAGGACTCATCCAGAGGAAATAGCTGAAAAAGGGAGACTTGTGTGGCTCCTTTTGTGGGAAGATGGGAGAGCACAGGAAGGGATGCTTCTACCTGCCTGATTGCAGCTCTGAGCATGGGGGGGCGGGGGTGTGGTCAGGTGAACAGGGCCAGCCGTAGCCTTAAAGACCGTGGCTGGGGTACCTCCACTTCCAAGAGTACTAGAGGGGTGCCAGACACTCAATGGTCACTTCCTCAGACCCAGGGAAACGTTTACACCAACCAAAAGGGGCTCACCTAATTGCCGCTGTTAGATGGAATGCTGAGTGATTGGTGAACCGGAAGTTTGGGTAATTTGAATAAAAGATTAGCCCTTGGCTGGGTGTGCAATGATATATCATTAAGATTTGGAGAGGTAGAGACATTAACCTGTTGTAAGAGGCCAGGATGAGAGTTAACCTTGGTAAGGAAGGTTGGTAACTAGAAGGCAGCACAGGAGTTTTTCTGAAGTACAGTTAACATACTGTTTCTTGATCTGGGCACTAGTTCAACACCTGAACACATAACTAATATACCCACTAAGATATAAGCCCAAAGGTTCACTTCTGCATCTTTAGTTGGAAGAGACACTATAGGGCAGGTTGGTCTGTGGTGTTCTGCACCGTCTCTTCTCTGTTCTTCATAATTTCCCACCTTCTAGCAGGTCCCAATACTCTGAGTAGAAACACACACAATGGCTAGGACGTAGACTTGAAATTTTCATGTGTTATTTTCACTTTTTCTTGGCCAAACCCATTCCAAGTTCAAGAAAACACGTATATTAGTTATTTTTCTATTGTTGTGAAAAAAACATTGTGAACAAGGTAAATCATAGGAGAAAGTTCATTTGACCTTATAGTTCCAAAGGGATAAGAAGAGTCTGTCATGGGAAGAATGTGTGTTAGCGAGCAGGCATGGTGGCTTGAGCAGGATGTTGAGAATTCATTTTCTTTACTGTAAGCACAAAATAGAGGGGAGAACTGAGAATGTACAAGATTTTGAAACCTCAAAGTCTACCCAGAGTGACAAACAGTGATGTACCTCGTCCAGTAAGGCCACATTTCCTAAACCTCCCCAAACAGTGCCACCAACTGGGGACCAAGTGGTGAAACATTGGAGCCTATGAGGACATTCTCATTCAAACCACTATAACAGGATATAGATTTCACTGCTTGATAGGAAGAATGAGAATTTATACTGCAAGAAGGTATAGATAGCAGGACTAGAGATGTAGCTCAGTTGATAGAGTTCTTACCTAATATGCATGAAGCCCCCAGCATTGCATAAAGTAGGCATGGTGAGGTAGAGGCAGGGGAATCAGAAGTTCAGGGTCACCATCAGCTATATAGCAAGTTATGTGGCTGGGGCTACATGAGTCCCTGTCTCAAAACTAAACAAAACTTTAGATAGGGAAGAAAATGAATGCCTTCAGCTTTTTGACAAGTTTACCACATTTTAATTTTTTAACATGTAAAGAGACAAAACAATAGAGTACTAAAGTCGTATCTACTGTTATGTATTATGTGTATTCAGTATGTATATTCCTAAGTACCATTCTTCCTGTTGCCTTTGATAGTTTTGTTTGTTTGTTTGTTTGTTTGTTTGTTTTGGTTTTGTTTTTGTTTTTGTTTTTTGTCGAGACAGGGTTTCTCTGTGTATCTCTGGCTGTCCTGGAGCTCATTCTGTAGACCAGGCTGGCCTTGAACTCACAGAGATCCGCCTGGCTCTGCCTCCCGAGTGCTGGGATTAAAGGCGTGCACCACTGCTGCCACCCAGCTGAGAACTTTTCAAATCCTTACTTTCCACTTTAGAAAGTAGGGACATAGTAGTTGCTAGACTTGTGCTGCTTGTTTGTTGTTGCTGTTTTTAATTCAGATCTCTAGGCTGTTTCTAGATTGTTGAAACCTGATGCTGGGGCTCAGAAATCTACGCTAAAAGGAATGTTAAGTTTTTAGAATAATTCCTTTGAGTTTTGTAAACTGTGGCTTAGCTAGGGTATATTTCCAATTTCTGCTGACTTTTCACAAAAAGCCTAAAGTAACTGTTCATACCAATCATTGATTAAATTACTTTCTTCGATCAAGCTAACCCAAACTATTCGTAGATTTTTATGCTTATTTGAAAACATTGCTTGGGAAAAGGATAAGCTGTATTAAGTAACTACCATGTTACAACCAGGTACTTTACCTAAATCCTTGCGGTAATATTGGCAGGACAGAAGCCATCCTTATTGTATAGATTTGAGAATTAACTATCCTATTAAGCATTTACTTCTTAGCCACTAAAGTAGAAGGTAAACTATTTGAGTGTAGCTTTTGAACAGATCTGAAGCTAGAAAGCACTGATTTGGGAACTAGATATAATAGACCCAATATTTGTAAGACTTAATGTATACTTACTAACAGGTAATTTAGCATAGTGTCTGTGTTCTGATCAAGTGAGTCTCCATGAAATACTTAATATATTTTAGATGTTTCAGATGATTTGTGTAAAATGGAAATCTGTCTTCAAAAATAAATGTTTGTGTCTAAACAGTTGCTTAGCCAACTTAAAGGAAATTTAGAAGAAGAAAATCGTCACCTATTGGATCAGATCCAGACACTGATGCTACAGAACAGAACGCTGCTGGAACAAAACATGGAGAGCAAGGATCTCTTTCATGTTGAACAAAGACAGTACATGTAGGTACCAAAGAGTTTTGTATTCTTAAGTATTATTCATGATGTTACTGCTGTACCTATTGGCAGAGAAAAATCCATGCCCATTTTACTTGATGTTATTTTATCATTGTTTTAGTATGTATTTTTTTATTTAAAATTATCTTACTGCTTGAGTGCACAAGACAAATTTATGGTGCTGTAGTGGACTGTAGACAATTGGTATTTCCATTTGGGAGTGAGGACTCACTTAGTCTTAAAGTAATGAGTCAGTGAGTGAATTTGGCATTCTGTCACAATCAGACAGAATTTAGCATCCTTATCCTTTCCATTCTTCTCAAGATAATGACAAACAGCAACTTCTTTCTCATATAAGTGGTAGTGATCCTCAGGAAGATCAGGAAAAGGCCTTTTAGACCTAAGATTTATCAAGATAATACTTTTGTCTTTGGGTTTCTATTGCTGCAAAGAGTCACCATGACCAAGGCAACTCTTTTTTTTTTTTTTTAAGTTTCTTTATTTAATTTTTTATTTTATGTGTATTGATGTTTTGCCTACAAGTATGTCTGTGAAGGTGACAGATCTTGGGGTTACAAACAGTTGTGAGCTGCCATGTGGGTGCTGGGAATTGAACTCAGGACTTCTGGAAGAGCAGTCAGTGCTCTTAACCGCTGAGCCATCTTTCCTGCCCCCCAAGGCAGCTCTTATAAAGGAACATTTAATTGGGGCTAGCTTACAGTTCAGAGGTTTAGTCCATTATCATCATGGCGGGTGGCATACAGGTAGACATGGTGCTGGAGAAAGAGCTGAGAATTCTACATCTTGATCTCAGGCAGGAAGTGAACTGTCACACTGGGTGTGGCTTGAGTGTATATGAGACCTCCCGCCTCCATAGTAACACACTTCTTCCAACAAGGCCATACCTACTCCAGCTGGACCACACCTCTTAATAGTGCCACTCCCTATGGACCAAGTATTTAAACACATAAATCTATGGACGCCATACCTATTTAAACCATCACAACTATCAAAAACATGAAATGAAAATAGGATGTGAAGAATAGAATATATACTCATCCATTGGGGGAGGAGTGTCAGAACTAAATCTTTAAAAGTAAGTTAAGCATGAGTAATTCAGCCTAAAAGGAAAGAATCTATTTACATGAAGATGTAGTTTCAAGTTTATTTATTATATCAATAATTGTTAGAAAAATACATATCTAGTAAAAGGTTTTATTTATGTTTAATAAAGCATACTTCATTATAAAGAATGTTTGATAGACTAAAAAGTTAGGAAACCAATGCTTGTATAGTATCAAATAACAGTACAAAGATGTTGAAACAATTATATGATGAGATTATACTATAGAAGGTTTCAGATAATTCCTGTTGTAGAATTGAAACGTATAAGTCTTACATCCCCTTATTTAAGTACATTTAAAGGAAAGGAGAAATACAAAAGAAACTCATAGTTGCTACTTTAGGTCTCAGTACCAATAATGGTTTCTGTGTTTGTTTATGTTCTGGAAAGAAATAAGATATATAAGATATTATGCATATTCTAAAATATAATTTCCATTTTTATAGTGATAAATTAAATGAATTGAGACGACAAAAAGAGAAATTAGAAGAGAAAATTATGGATCAATACAAATTTTATGACCCATCTCCTCCTAGAAGGTACCACTAATCAAATTTTAGGGATCTTGTTTTGAAGAAAACTTTATTTGTAGTATTGTTGAGGCTTATCATTTTATGAGGATTATTGTTGAACTTTAGACTAAGAATTTTTTTAATTCTATTAGGAGAGGCAACTGGATTACTCTAAAAATGAGAAAATTGATAAAGTCCAAGAAAGATATTAATCGGGAACGTCAGAAGTCTCTAACATTAACACCTACCCGCTCAGACTCCAGTGAAGGATTTCTTCAGCTGCCTCATCAAGACAGTCAAGATAGCTCTTCAGTAGGGTCAAACTCTTTAGAAGATGGCCAAACCCTGGGGACCAAGAAGAGCAGCAGTGAGTGCTAAGTGCTTTAAACAGAGTATTGATTTAGAATCCTGTCTAAAGAGTTCTCTTTTAAAAAACAACTTCCAACAATCTTTTAGTCTGATGAATGATATTTCATTTTAACTTTATGTTTCTAAAATTAATTGCAGACTACAATAGTGTACAACTACCTGGTTTTCTGACATGTACATAGAGATAACCATCATGCTAGTAAGATAAAATATTGTGAAAAGAACATTGAAATAACAGCTTGGCTATGTCTGCTCCTAAAATAGGCTTCACAGACTAATTATAAGAATAAGAAATAAGAATGAGATTTCATTTCATTAGTATTTATAACTTACTCAAAATAAGGCATTTTATAATGTGGATTTTGCTCATAAGCTTTGGTAGTATGAAATTGAAAGTTATCATATTGGGAAAGTTAAGAAAAATAAATACTAATTTGAAGAGGAATTACAGAAGTATTTAAAGATAACTAGTCTCAAAAAATTGAGAGATACTTGCTAAAGTTTTGGTTAAAATGAAATAAAGATGGGGAAATGTAAATGTATAAACTTAAAATTTAGTTTTTATTAGACTTACAAGTCCCACATAATATGCCTGATAAAAATTACAGACTTTTTAGTTTACTACTACTACTGTGTGTTTTAGCAAAATAGCAAGACCAAAGAAAGAGCCTAAAAAGTATATAATTTAAGAAAAAGAGAAAAGAATGTCTACACAGTTGACTATCTGTGTTCTCATAAAATAACTGGAAAAGTATATACTTTGATCACATCATTACCAGTGTCAATAAGTGCATACATGTAGCAGGTGAGGTGATGCATACTTATAATCTGAATGCTGGGGAGTGGAAGCAAGAGGGTTGGAATTCAGAATCTTCTTCTGGTTTATAGCAAGTTCAAGGCCAGCCTGGCTACATAAAACCCTCTTTCTAACAAACCACACTATTCTTTTGAAATAAAAAGTAGGCAAGCCCAGCAGTGGTGGTGCACGTCTTTAATCCCAGCACTCCGGAGGCAGAGGCAGGTGGATCTCTGTGAGCCCAGGCCAGCCTGGGCTACAGCACGAGATCCAGGACAGGCACCAAAACCCTGTCTCAAAAAAACCAAAAAAAAAAAAAAAAAAAAAAAGTAAGCAAAGCCAGCTTCTGCTTCCCTCAGAGGTAGGCGATCCATGTGGATAGCTCTCAAAATACTCAAATAATGGTACAATGTTATGGCCTTGTATATTGTCTCCAAAAGGAGATGATGGTATTTAGGACTGTAGCACATATTTCACAATTCAGTTTTAGCGGCCTAGATAGTCAATCAGTGCTAACAACAGAAAGTACAAAAGCACACATAATATGCATCTCATAATCTCTAGAAAGCAATATAATTGTATAACACCACATAAGATGACTATTATCTGGGATCCTTTGCCATCTAACCTTGTCCACCTATTAATTGATAAATACTGGTATGGAGAAATCATTAAGTTTTCCTTTAGAGGTAGCTAATAAGTCAGTTTTATCTACTGCCTTTAGACACAAAAGTATTTGACATCCTACTAAGAAAATGTAATGTATGTCCTTAACTAAGTTAGAAGAATATAATTTAGAGATTATATAATGAGAATACACACACACAAAGGTCCCCCTTTTTTTTTAATGTCATTCTGTCTGTCTGAAATTTAAGTCATTCTTTCATACTACCTCCTGGAACATTCAGGATAAAATCAGAAGGAAACAATATTCTCCTTTTCTACAGTTGTTCAACTTTAGATTTTGTTTTCAATAAACATAAATACCTTTAATATAAGTATGCTTTGGGAAAAGAACATTATATGTTTCAAACATAATTGCCATGAGAAGAATTACATCCCTGGCAAATTTTAAATTCTTTTTATTCTGCCCATTTTGGAAGAATGTCTGTCTGTCATGTCAGTAAAGCAGTCTTTGAAAAACAGCTGAAAACAGAAAAAGGAAAAAAAAGAAAAGTATCTACACATGACATGTGCATGCTGCAACCATTCAGCTTTGTTTTAGCTAAGTGTCCATTTTTACATTGCTTTTGGTTCATTCTTTTTGATCATTGAGACTAGCTATGTTTACCTAGCATGAAAGAATATATGTCAGATTAAAAAGCTTAAATGAATCATGACTCTCCTCACAGCAGTCAGACAAATTAAGAAGCTATTCTAGCTTGCACATCTTTCAATGAATATTTACCAATTTATCAGAAAAATAGCTTTGAATATTTACAATGCTGATGACAACCTTCTGAGAAAGAACATAGTTATTAAGGTTATGTATAATATATTTTCATAAACATATAATTATTTTTATATTAAACCATACTAAGAAGATATAGTTTAGTGTTTGTTCTAATGATTCCTATACTTGAGCAGTAGTCCTTTAATTCACAAAAGTGTTTTTGTGGAGTGCTTCTTTTCATTTTTTTTTTTGCATAAATCTACCCTACAGGCCCTTCAAAATACATTTTAAATTTGTTATTTATTATTATGTTAATTTTATGTACATGAATGGTTTGCCTGCCCTTATGTCTGGTACCATATGCATGCCTGGTGCCTTCAGAAGCCAGAAGAGGGCATTGGATCCCCTGGAACTAGAATTACAGACAGTTGTGAGCTACTATATGGGTGCTTGGAATTGAACTTGTAAAGCCAGTGTTCCTAACTGCTGAGCCATCTCTCCAGCCCCCAAATATCTTCAAAAATTTCCCTCCCATTTTGCTTATCTTGGGGTTCCTTTTTTCTTATCTTTTTCAAAACTTAGTGCTAGCACTTATTGCTAATGTCAAACTATTCTTTTTTTCCTCCTTCTCTCAACCAACTTTTTGTAAAATGAGCCTACCTGCTCTTTCATCTGCAGGAAGACTTGTTGAAAGAATGTGTATCTTCACAGTGCTGCTAAACAATGCACTGGATTCCAGTTTAAATAATTGTTTCCTTTATTAAACTTTAGGAGACTAACAAAAATTTAAGGCTTTTTTTAAAGTTTATTTTTCTTTAAATATCTAACCACCCTATGGTTGATATATGTGTGTATTATCTGCATCTGTATATAGACATAGATATACACACATATTACTAAAATTCTCTAGTGGAATATGCGTTTTCCTAATTTTTTTAAAAAGCCTTTAAACTTAAAAATTTTAAAGAAAATAGATTCTTGTAAACCTTGTATGCTTCATCCTTTATACTATAAGCCACCAATAGCCAAATTTTAAAAGTTTACTTTTACAATTTAGGAAATTTGGTTTCTCCCTAAGTAATTCTAATCAGTTCCTGTTTTTATATGACTGGAGCCAGTGCTTTCAAAATACATGTTCCTCATGGTTGTCTTCAGTGCTTTCTAAGCATTTACAGTACAGAGTGCATGCTTCCTGTTTCACTATCCTCAGCAACTGAGGGTATTAGCTGTAATGTAGCATACATAGCGAGACCAACATTCAATTCATTCCTGTCCTTAATTTCAACATTTAACTCCCATCTGTTCTTCTCCCTTTTTTCTTTCATTTCCCTGTTTCTGTTTTTCCTCATGCTCTGACATTAAAGTGGTTGCACTGAAAAGACTGCCCTTTTTGAGGAACAGACCGAAGGATAAAGACAAAATGAAGGCCTGCTACCGTCGTTCCATGTGTAAGACTTTATGACAGTTCAGCTTCTTTCAAATGACCACACTGGCTTCCATCACTAATTTTTCACTAACCTTTCTCTGGACTGTACTAATTTCTTATTTTGTAAAGTGCAGTCTTACTTTAATATGAGGAGCTGGAAGAATATTTTTTTAAAAAGGCATTGAATTTGCCTTATGTATACTCATACATATATATGCATATGTTTAGTAATACATGTAATATATTTGTAAATGTCCAGTGCTTTCTTAAAACTGGCAAAAACAAACAAACTTAATTTTATATGCCATACAGAGTTTTCCCCAAGGAAGTTTAAGTAAAAATATAACAAACCCTTTAGCATTAGAAATTCATTTCCTTAATGAACCTAATTAAATGAATAAATGAATGAATAAAGTGGCCTATAATCCTTGAAAATGTTTGTCATTCTTTATGTAATAATCTCGGCTTTCTCTCTTTAAGTGAAACGGGTAATGACATAATCATATTAAATGTCTGTTACTTTGAGTATCTCTTTCAGGTTTTTATTCATTGGTAAATTTACTTGATTTATAAAGATGAAGAATTTATTCAGTAACCTGCTCTGACCAAGGACTCTTTCTCATTTTCAATAATGACACTGTGTAAAATTGCTCTCCATCTTATTTCATTCCATTTTTATCACCACAAAACTGCATTGTGAAGGCTTCTGATTCTATTTCACATCACAGCACAAAAGCATGGCAGTTGTACATAGTAAAATTCCTTTCTGTCTTCTAAAGATGGTGGGGGGTGGTAAGAGTACTGGAATTTAGCAGCCTTTGGCCTCATTTCATTCAGCTGAATGCATGTCATTACTCAAATGGCCTTGTAGTTACAGTTTGGGGCCCATTTGCATTAATTCATAGACAAAACCAGATCATTTATAATACAAAATAGAAATAAGAGCCAATCCATTAACCATGCTGATTCATTTGCTCTCATTTGCATCCCAGCCATGAATGACCTGGTGCAGTCCATGGTCCTAGCAGGAGGACAGTGGACAGGTAGTACTGAAAATTTGGAGGTCCCTGATGATCTTCCAACGGGTAAAAGGAGAAAAGAATTGGGAGCTCTGGCCTTCTCCACCACAGCCGTCAACTTCTCAACTGTCAGCTCTTCTGCAGCCTTCAGGTCCAAGCAGTTGGTTAATAATAAAGGTATAGGCCGTCTGCTATTTGCACTGTGCTGTATAACTGTTGGCAACAGAAATTTTAATTTTACTTCCCTATGTACTTTTTTTTCTTCAGACAACCTGAAATAATTATCAAACTGTGATCTAGATTTGATTTGGGGAAAATTTCGAGTTGTGTCAAACTTTTAAGATAGTATGTAAATAATCAAAATCTTTCGTAGGCCTCCTCTCCTAATAACTAGCTAATGAACTTACATGAAGAGAAGAAAACAGATAAAGAGTGGAAAAGAGGAGGAGGAGGAGTGGTATGTTTCTTTCTTAAAGCCCAAAAGCACTGCAACTTAAGAATGCTACATAGAACCACCCAGGTTTTTGCTTTGCTTTGCAGGGTCACGGGGGAGACTATTTCATTGCCTCTAGTGTTTTCTTAACAAGTCAATTCTCATCAGAGCTACTCTTTTCTTCTAGTTCCAGTTTCTGCCTGAGTCTATGAATACATTAAATGAAGGTGTACTGTGTGTGACTGAAAAATAATATCCACATTCTGTAGAAGTATTGTAGTGAAATTGTTTTAGTACAAAATATATTTATATCCATTTTTCTGTTTCATGTAGATACTACATCCTTTGAAGACGTAAGTCCACAGGGTATCAGTGATGATTCTAGTACGGGATCAAGAGTTCATGGTAAGCGATGAACTTAACTTAGATGGTATACATTACATACTGAATGGGAATGTTGAGATTCTTGCATTGAGTCAGTGAATGTAGCATTACTTCTTCCATTTCTTCTAATCTAATACTGCATTTGTCCCTTTTAAGATTTTTGTTTCATATGAGTATTCAGAGGTAATTTTGTTATTATTCTCATATGAGGTTAATTGTAAGAGTTGTATTTCACCATTAGGATTTAAATACTTATATTGATAAAGGATGAATACTAAAAACCAAACTTTCTACAGTGTAGAGTATTTTAGATTTTTAAATTCCTATTTGGAAAATCCTGTTTTATCAGGTGAAATTATTACTAGGAACAAATAGATAACATGCTAAAAGAAACTTCATTAGTAAGCAGGTTTTTAAGAAATAACATGGAGCAGTATTAACTGTATAGAATATACATATAAGAATATAGGATACATGAGGCTAGAGAGATAGCTCAGCAGTTCATACTGCTCTTGCAGAGGACCCATTAGGTCCCCAACATCCACAATGAGCAGTCCATAACTGCCTAAAACTCTAAATTCAGAGGCAATGACACCCTCTTCTGGCCACTACAGTCACTGTGTTCACATACATAAACCCATACATATATACATAACTTTTTAAAAGAAGTATATAGAGTATTAGAACCAGTAGAATGGCTCAGCAGTTAAAAGCACTTGCCATGTAAGCCCAGCTCCCTGAGCTCAACCCACAGAATCCAGGTAATGGTAGATGGAAAGGAAACTCCAAAGTTGTCCTCTGACCTCCCCCATGTGCCATGGCACAGACATTCATGTACATGATCATAATTATTAAATAAAAATTGTTTAATACATAGGATGTTGAGGGCTAGAAAGATGACTCAACAGTTAAGTTAATTTGCTGCTCTTGCAAAGGAACTGGATTCAGTTCCCAGCACCCACATGTTGGCCCACAACCATCTGCAACACCAGTTCCAGGGAATCTGATGCCCATTTCTGACTTTTGAGGGCATCAGGCACAAATATGGTATGTGTAAACACTCATACACATAAAATTAAACCTTTAAAAAATTAGTGTGTGTGTGTGTGTGCATGTGTCTGTGTGTGATGTTAACAGTGTAGATGGTCACATTCCTCCACTTGACGGCATCTCTGAAGCAAAGCGGTCCCTTACCTATTCTGTTGTAAGTTACCTAATCTGTACCATTTGGTGAAGACGGGGAACATGGAATTTTATTAAATCGAAAAGGTTGTGGTATCCATCCCTAGAAATCACTCTTTCCTCCTTTCTTTCTCCCTTCTTCTCAGTCTTTTAATTTCAGCTGTTTTTCCAGAAGTGCCGCGTTCCAAAGTATCTTAGTGAACTATCTAAATGTCTTTACTTTGAAATCTGTACGATTCACCATTCTGTGAGCATGCCCAGGCTGAGACGTATGCATGATTGTGTCCTCAAAGCATTCTGTGACCAGAATGTAAAATTCAGTGCTCTCAGATGGAAGTTTCATTATATTGTCTCCTGATTTTCTCATTTAGCGTCAAGACCAGCCAGCCTTGATAGTGGCAGAACGTCCACTAGCAATAGCAATAATAATGCTTCACTCCATGAAGTCAAAGGTATGCTGTAGGTAAATTTGTTCATGGGCTCCCTCTGGTTTCCAGGATTGTTTACAAGTAGGAGGAGGATAGAGAGTGCAGCTCAGTGGTAGAGCACCTTGTGCTTAGCATGCATGAGGCCCTGTCTTGAGTTTAGCTCCAGAACCAGAGAGGAAAAAGTTGGAAATGGGATGAAGTTTCTGATGAAAAGTGCAAAATCCAAATTATCTATGTTTGAAACATAGTTCTCTGGAATGCTTGCACTTTTACATTGTGATACAGATGTATTTCAATGTATACAAATGTAAAATCAGGAGCATTTATTTTGGTTTCAGTTCTTCATTTTCACAGATAAAATAGTCTTCACTGTAATCTTTATGTTTTAGAATTATCCATAGGCCCTTCTTTTAAGTGACATTTTGTGCTTGACATATAAATGGTTGTCCTTAAGTTTCTTCATGATGCATGTGCATTAAAATTGCATTACTTGTATTTTAGAAATACTGTTAGCTTACTTTGTCAACAAAGTACATTCCTCTTTTTTTCTTTTTTTGTGTATATATGTATGTCACATAAGAAGTATATGGATGCACACATGGCTCATATAAAGAATTATTTCTTTTGTGTTTTAATGTGTATTCCAAGGTGAAATTTTTAAGTAACAGCTGGAAATCTTGACTAGTGCACTTTTCGTTAAAATATATTATTGCCTTTACAGACTGTGCTTGTTAAACACTACCATAGCTATTCTCTATACTCTAGACTTGTACAGCTATAATAATGAATGCATTTGTTCTATTGCTTTTGGATTATAGCATTATTTGTCTTAGTCATTTTTATAATTAATTTTATGACTTTCATTACAATGATCAGAAATATGATTTTGAGGGAAATTAATTTCTCTTTTTATAAATCATAGTGATAGTAATATAGTCTGAAACCATAAAAAATTCCTTCTGATTTTGAAAATATAAGAAAATCTTAGTTCTGAGAAATAATACAATTTTAGAAAATTCTTCCATGACTGCCTTACTCTTTATGATGGGATAATTTTCTGTCTTGATGTACTGTACAGTTTATTATTGATAATCAGTCCTATAAAGGAATAGTGAACATTCTTAGGGACGTTATTCTAGAACTAGTGTCCATTCTATATAATTCAATCTCAAGTAAATCTTTGAAGTTTATGTGGTAGTACTAACCAGCAGTGGACATCTGAACCAGTCAGATAATGGAGATTGAAGAAAGATAAACCATGCATGGTGACATGCCTGTATTCTCAGCATTTAGGATCGGGAAACAGGAGAATTACAAGTTCTAGGACAGCCTGGCCTACATACCATGTTCCAGTGAAATACTTTCTGACTACTTTTGTTTCATTTTTTATGGAACTTGTCTATTTCATGGTTTGTTTGTTGTTGTTGTTTTTTACTTTCTTTTTTTTATTTTTTATTTATTTTTTGGGGGGGCGGGTTTAGTCCCACCTCAGGATCCCCACAAAGGATGTCTTCTGTCTTGTTTTTTTTGTTGTTGTTGTTGTTTTGAGACAGGGTTTCTCTGTGTAGCTTTGCACCTTTCCTGTAGCCCAGGAACTTTGCGCCTTTCCTGGGACTCACTTGGTAGCCCAGGCTGGCCTCAAACTCACAGAGATCCGCCTGCCTCTGCCTCCCAAGTGCTGGAATTAAAGGTGTGTGCCACCACCACCTGGCTTAAATTTTTTTAATTGTAGAGCTTTTCATTTAGTATGAAATCTTTGATTGAATTGAGACTTCATAAAGACAGAATTAAAATAATTTTTTGCATTTAAATGTTTTGGGCTTTAATATTCTGAAATAATTTTTTTTTCCTGAGACAGGGTTTCTCTGTGTAGCTTTGGAGCCTGGAACTCACTTTGTAGACCAGGCTGGCCTCAAACTCACAGAGATCTGCCTGCCTCTGACTCCTGAGTGCTGGGACTAAAGGCTTGTGCCACCAACACCAGCTAATATTTTCTTTTTTTAAACTGTGAGTTATTTTACAGTTATTTGAACCTAAATTGTTAATTTTTATTACTTTATTCATTCATTTAGTCTTCAGTATATTGAATGATTGTTTAATGTGAAACTCCCTTTAGGTTTGACTTTGGTGGTAAAAGAATATTTTTGCCCTTATAGAACTTGGAATATTTGTCAGTTTAATAAATCCAGAAAAGCAGCTGTGGTATCCAGTTCTTAGACTGAGGAGCAAGTAACATAGCTTACCTAAGCATGTCTAAATGAAGTTTAAAGTCAATGTGGCTACTAATAGAATTGGAACTCTGCTAACAAATTTTGCATAGTATTATCTCATTTCTATTATTGAAGTCTCAACATCACATTTACTCCAAAAGCAGGTGCAGTTAATAACCAAAGCAGGCCACAAAGCCACAGCAGTGGAGAATTTAGTCTGCTTCATGATCATGAGACTTGGTCCAGCAGTGGTAGCAGTCCAATCCAGTATTTGAAAAGGCAGACCAGGTCAAGTCCTATGCTCCAACACAAAATGTCTGAAACAGTAGAAAGTCGAGCACATCACAAGATTAAAGCTGGTTCCCCAGGAAGTGAAGTTGTTACTCTACAACAGTTTTTGGAAGAAAGCAACAAGCTTACCTCAATACAGGTTAGTTCAATATATGGTGATCTTGATTTAGATGAGTAGCACTAGTTAAAAGCCTTGTGAATGAGCCTTAGAATTTTCCTTTTTAATTATGGAACACTAAGATAACAGCAACTCTAAAGTGTATAGTTCACTTTATCAGGAGACTCTAAACATGGCTCTATTCAGTAATCTATATTGTTTTTCCTTTCAACAGTTGAAGTCCTCAAGTCAAGAAAATCTTTTAGATGAAGTCATGAAAAGTTTGTCTGTCTCTTCCGACTTTCTGGGAAAAGACAAGCCAGTTAGCTGTGCCCTGGCCAGGTCAGTAAGTGGAAAAACTCCAGGGGACTTCTATGATAGACGGACAACTAAACCTGAATTTTTGAGACCTGGTCCTCGAAAGACTGAAGATGCCTACTCCATTAGTTCTGCAGGGAAACCTACACCAAGCACTCAAGGAAAGATAAAACTAGTCAAAGAAACCTCTGTGTCCAGACAATCAAAAGATAGCAATCCTTATGCCACTTTACCTCGTGCAAGCAGTGTGATCTCTACTGCTGAAGGAACAACACGAAGGACCAGCATCCATGATCTTTTGACCAAGGACAGTAGACTGCCTGTGTCCGTTGATTCAGCACCACCTACTGCTGAGAGCAGCATCACTGCAGCCTCTAGTGAGTACCATTTACAGCGGTGGTCTTCGGATGTGCCAACACAGGCTGGAGGGCATCAGGCCCCAGATGATTTAGCTGCAGACACATCTGAGTCTCTTTATACCCAGGCTAGAAAATCAAAACCAGGAAGGCCACATTTTCTAAACCAAACTTTTGCCACTGTTAAAATGTCAAATGATGCATTTGGAATATCGGCTAACGATAGCCATAGGTCATTTACTGTGGTTCATTCATCTCATCCATTTCTATCCCTGAACACAGAATTGGTTAGTAACATAAGTGGGTTACCTTCCAAGTCACTCACTAGAGTAACTGACCAGGCCTCCTCCTCTTGGGGTAAGGCTGCACAGAAACAGTTTTGTGATAGTCAGAACCCTAGTAACAGTAGCCCACAATCCCCTGTAGATAACAACCTTACTATTCCTGCATGCCTCTACCCTGAGAACACCGAAGTTGCATTATCAGTTTCAGAGGATAGTCAAACTGTTTGGTATGAATATGGTTGTGTTTAATCAAAACTGCATAATATGTTGATGTTATTTGCTAGGTTTATATTTTTAAGATTGTTACATAGAGTTCAGCTGTATAAAAAGGCATGTATATAAACATGAATGTGTAACCACACCAAAGTCTGCATGAAATAGTAATTACATTGTACATTTTTTGCATGCCTTTAAAAATCCAACCATACGTGTTTTTCTTTCGCATCTTTTGTCACTTGATAAAGATGATAAAGATACTTTGATATCATGAAGCATGTTAAAATAGTTGCATGTTCTGTTACCAAGAAAGCGTATCCAAGTCATTGTTTGGCTGCTTCTAGAAAGAGTGTTCAGTTGCTCTTCCTGCCTCCTCTCTCTCTCTCTCTCTCTCTCTCTCTCTCTCTCTCTCTCTCTCTCTCTTATTTCCTGAATGTGCACTTCATGTTGCATATGTACAGTATTAATAATGGAAATGTTTTTGAAAATGTCATTTTCTTTTATCACTTAATCATGTTATCTGTCCTGTTCTCTTTTCAAAGAAATAATTAATAATTCAATTTAACTTGAACTAATGCTCATATTTATAAAACATTGTTCAAATTTAAAGTAATTTTTATTCATAAATGTGTTATTCCTAAGATTTTTCATCAAACTTAAATGTGGTTTACACAGTGACTAGGAGCATTTATGTTATAATTCTCTTCTTGGTGCTGTTCTTTTTCTGATAAACACAATAGATCAAGACAACTATTTTTTTGGAATCTTTTAACAAAATTTTTCCCAGTTTTTTTACATATGAGTCAAAGAGAAATAAATCAAGTTACTCATTATCTTGGGATTTGTATTTTTATGTCTATTCAGAAAGATAGCAACTTTTTTAAATAATGAAAAATTTAACTTGTCATTAATTTATTACAAAATTGAATATGTATATCTTTAATGCAGACTCTTTAAAAGTTAATATATTGTGCTAGAGTATAAAATTAGGACTTGTGAGCATAAAAATAAAAAAAAGTATGTAGTCTTCATTCTAAAATTTGTTGTATTAAAAACACAGTCTGAGCCGGGCGGTGGTGGCGCACGCCTTTAATCCCAGCACTCGGGAGGCAGAGCCAGGCGGATCTCTGTGAGTTCGAGGCCAGCCTGGTCTCCAAAGCGAGTTCCAGGAAAGGCGCAAAGCTACACAGAGAAACCCTGTCTCGAAAAAAAAAAAAAAACACAGTCTGGGGCTGAAGAAATGACTCTGCAGTTGAAGAAATGACTCCGCAGTTGAGAGGACCCGGGTTCAATTCTCAGCACCCACATGGCAGCTCACAACTGTCTGTAACTCCAGTTCCAGGAGACTTGGCACCCTCACACAGACAGACATAAATGCAAGCAAAACACCAATGCACACAAAATAAAAATAAAAAATAAATTTAAAAAAAGTTTTTTAAAAAGCATAGTCTTGCCTGGTGTAATAACGCATGCCTTTAATCCCAGCACTCTGGGAGGCAGAGGTGGTGATCTCTGAGTTCCAGGCCAGCCATGGACCCTGTCTCAAAAACAGAAAAACAGTTGTCTGTAGCTCTCCATCCCCCAAAATAAAATCCACACAAGATGAAGATCTATCTACAAACATGGAGTCCAGCTCCATATAGTTTTATCTTTCTGTGTTCATATCACTCTAAAGCAAATCTAAAGCAAATTTAAAAATCTATAATCCTGATTGACTTACTTCTGCATGATACTTAGCTGTCTTGGGAATGTTTTTGCAATTTTGATTCAGTTTAATGTTACTGGTAATAACTCAGCCTAGGTAGGGGCCATAGGCAACTTTATGAGTGAAGAGCAGAGTATTGTTGCATACTCACTGCATTAAGCTGTTATTGTTAATACTGGGTGGAAGGGAAAAATCTTCAAAGAGTCTTTGCTTAATTAAATTTGTATCTTTTGTAAAAGGTTCTCCTCTTGTGAGAACAGGGTCACTTTATGGGTAGACCCCTTCTGTGTATATTGCTGCCTCTGCTTTTCTTTCCTTACAGCTATTAAAAATAGTTCTGGTACAGGTAATAAAATGAACACATGGTATTTTTATATATTTTAGTACACTTTTTATATTTTTATATATACGTAGTACACTTTCTGCATAAATATAGTATGTACCCTGTACTATCAGTTTTTGTCTAGTCAGTCTTAATAGTTCTGATATTTTTGTGCTAATATTTTCCCCTTTTTTCATAGCTTACTAATAAAATTAAATGGTAAGCAGCTGATATTGATGGGGGCTATATGACAGAAATGCTTTGCTTCTTTTGGACATCATAAAACTGGTCTTTGCACTTTTTACAAATTATGTATTTTATTAAAAGCTATGTGGGTTGTTTTATGTAAGTAAACTTAAAGAAAAAAAGTACTTTCTCCTAATGTCTCTAAGGATATATATCCAGCATGTTTTCAAAAGTACCTTGCATGTAAGACAGGTAAATACCATGTCCATGTTTCCTGAGGGTTGTCTGAGATAGCAATGTAGACTTCCTCCAGAAAACATCACATGCTATGGAGTCAAAGTTTTATCAAACACTGAGGGAAAAAAATTGCGTTAGGTTTTCAGTGGTGGGGAAAACTAGAGTCTTTAGTAATCATATAGGAACAGTGTTTCCAGAAAGTTGTGTCAGTATTAAAAATGAAGCAACTATGAGTCAAGCATCTTCATCTACTTCCCCTGAGATAACTTCATGACCTGTAACTCACAAAGATGGCTAAAAGATTCAGTACCCTGATTTTATAAATAATAAACTGATAGCTGTTTAGAATTCCGGGCCTGGCCTTGTGTAAATGACATCCCTATAACCAGTGTGATACTTGAGCAGCTTCAGGTATAATTATGCCTCATCCCTGGTGTCACAGTAAATAATACCAGTACAGATCTGTCTACCATTGTACTGCATGACCTAATGTAAAATTATGTGATGACCATTACCATATTGCTATATTATAAGAATATGGTAAGTATGTAAGCCTCTGAAACTAAGAGAAAAGGTAACTCTTAGATTTATGAAAAATAGTTACCACATTCATAGCTGTGTTCCTTCCTTATGGCTTTTAAAATATGAAAAAAACAAATTTCACATAATAAGATATCTGTCAGATTAGTAATTTTCCCAGGTTCAAATTTCTCTGTCGTACTCAGCGAGTGCTTTTATCTTCATGAATTGTGTTATGTTTAACTTTTGACTAAATAACATGAACTACTTTTCTCCCACAGATGTGAACAAAGTACAAGAGAACAGAAATTCAAAAAGCAGGTCTAGGGAGCAACAAAGCTCCTAATTCAGTGACCCACTGCATGACGTGGGCCAAGTGGTGAGTTTCCTGCTTGAATCGTAAATGAGATTGGTCTCATTTCTACAGACTAACAGAATTAAGTATGGTAACAGTGCACATTGCATTAACAGATTTAATTTTGCTTGCTGGATTGAATTTCTCTCCTGCTTACTTAGTAAAGCTTAGTTGGCTGCCATAGGTTTTCACCTGTCTGTTTGGGTAGCAAACCTATGTATTTTCTCTCGATTTATATTTAATTTTAGCAGTGAATAATGTGAAGTCTGTCTTTTATGCATTACAACTTCTGAGTAATTGGTAAGAATGGACTAAACCTGTCTTACGCAAAACAGCTCAGATGTGGCCTCTGGTTTCCTGTCACTCTCATTCCCATATAAACACCTGGTGCATGCTGTTCTTATACTAGCTTTCCTGTGGTTTATATCCCTCTTATCTTCAAGCTGTTCTTATATTTTCTTTCTTCTTTCTGTCTTTGAACAAAATACAGAGAGAAAAGTGTCCTTCAGTTTCTCAGTATGAAGACTTTATTTCTGAAGTAACAAGACACCTAACAACTGTAGGAACTATTTAAAAAAAAAACCATAAGGAGATTTTAACACATCCCTTCGTGAATAGAGCAGGCAAGAATACAAACTTCATTCCTTCCTTGAATCAAGGAGCACTACTGGATTCAACTGCCAGAAGTTTTAGAAGGTTTTTAGACACTGTACAGTTCATTAAGCTCTACTGAATAAAGGACATTCTCTCACTAAGGACTGAGTGTTTTAAGGTCAAGTATTCTAAGAACAGCCTACTTCTTTCAACATTTGTTTATTAATTTATCCATGTTTGCTTACTGCTTCTGCTAAGTATTACCCAAAAGCTAGCCATTTATATTTAGTTGTGTAAATCTAAATTAAGTGCTGTAGTATTTTGTGAAATGTACTATATCAAGATACAGAGAAAATTGTTCTGGCATGTCAGGGCCTTTTTGGTTAGCAGACTGCATGTGTTGGTACGCTGGTTATTGTTTTTAGAGCCAACTGTTTGGATGCACTGCAAAAGAAACTCAATTCATAAGATATGAAGAAAATTCCATAATGAGATATAGGAATTATAAAAATGGTATGATACTAATCTTACCACTTTCTCCGCTAAGCTGCACTAGGCATTCATAAATGGATCCAAGATAAAATCATTTTTATGAAACTTTTTTTAGTGAGATGGTTTTCCGGAAAATAGCCTTCCCAAGATAAAGCAGTTGTGTTGTAGCTCATTTCCCTTTGCTGTTGGGTTATGTACATGTTTTTACGTGAGAGCTGATTATTGCTTAACAAGTTTTCTTATGGCAAAACAATGTAAATCATTTCTATATCTACATTTTTTCAGGAACTCATTTACTATTAAGGTTGCCATTTATTACTAAGACTTTTTCTGTTTTTGTCCTTTATAATATTATATTAAACTTGATAACTTATAGGTAATTTTGAAATATTTGTATGTGTTTGTTACCTTAAATATTTGAAAAAAGCACAAAAAAGTAGATTTAGTTAAACCAGAGAAACACCAGTTTTTTAGTAGTAGCAATTTTATATCACAGTTTTATTTTCTTATGAAGCCCAAAAAACACATTGCTACTCATTAAGGCAAGTTCATTATTTAACATAAAAACCAGAATAATTTTTTGAAATTAAAAAAAAAAACAATTTTTATTTTAACAGTATACTTCTTAAGCTCTTACTACCAGCTCTGAAGAACTTTTTGGAATAATTACATATTCCATAATAGGTGTTTTACAGTGTCATCACTAACCCAGTAGCCGTGACAAAAGTCTCTTTTCCTTGTCCCCCCTTCCTCTTTTTATCTCCCCACTGTCTCTGTAATAGGCCACTAGAAGGCTGTAATATAACCACCTTTGGAAAGACTATCAATAAAAAAGACACAAAATGTTTAGTTGACCAGAAATTTAAAGTTAGAGAACTTGGATTTATTTAATTCAGTGTTGCCGTAATGTAGGCTTTGCCAGAAAATAATGCTATAAAATTAAATCACTTTAAAACTCTTGAATGAAAGGTGCTATATATATGTAAATACAAAGGAGTCTTACTGAAACACATGTTGCACAACAGAAGTACTAAAAATTCTCTAGACTTTGTAATCTCTCTGCATCATGACCCCTTGGATTCAAGTATCAATTGGTAAATGGGTATCATGGCAGTCTAGAGACATTTGCATGTAAAATATGTAAATTCACTTTTGATTGAGAAGTTGAGAGTAAGTGTAGAACTATGTTTTAGCTAAAAATAGTAAGTGGGTAAGTTAGATTTATATTACTAGCATCCAATTTGCACAATTAGCACACATCCCAGGACAGTTAATGAGTGTGAGTGGGAATGCAGTTTGACCTCTCTACTAACATCCTAAAACAGAGCCTGCCAAGTTAACAGCACTTCCACTTCAGCTGAAAACCTGCAGTGGATTAAAGTGCAGTAGGCTGACCCTAAAAAGAAAAAAAGAGAGAAACCAAGGGAATACAATGAGACTATTAAAATATTCATGGTTATATTCATTACCTTCCTCATACTGTTTCAAGAAAGGACTAAACGATGACCAAGTAAATTTTTTTTTCTTCAAAATCTACTTAAGAAGCAGACTTTGTAGGAAGCTAAGCCAAATGGAAGTGAACCAGAGCTGTTTTTCTAAACAGGCTTAAACCTGCCTTTAGTTATTTGGTCCTTTCTATTCCGTAACCAGCCCCTAAACCTCTAAGAACACTTAAAAAATCAGACTACCAGCACTAGCCCAGAACTCTAGTAATATGCCTCCTGGCTGGCTATGGCAATGTTTTGATCCAAGTTTTTTTGAGTTGGTGGTTACCAAAGAGTTCACAGGACAGGTTCATGTGTAGCACCTTTCATGCAAGGCATGTTAAAAGCCTATTTAAAAATCACTGTGTGTATTATAGAATTGTAGCCACCTCACAAATGGAATACTACAGCCTTTACTGTCTTTAACAGTTTATGTCAGGAAGTGAAATCAATACTGTACCAAATCTGGAATTATAATGGGGAATTATGTATTCTAAATTACTTCTGTTCTTTAAGTTACTTTTTATGAGAAAGGTGAATTGTTTTCTTTACAGCTATTTGTCCTGAGATGTATTTTTTTCTTTAAGTCTTGAATATGAATACTACAAAAAGAGCCCATTTTATAATATAAACCTTGATGTACACATTGAGCTATTTGGACAGTGAAAATGCCTTAAGAGGAATGCTTAATGGATAATGTTGCACTTGTAACATCCTTTGACAAAATCTGATTTTAAATTGTCGTTTTTGTTTCTACTAGTTTTTTTTTCAGTGTTTGCCATTGTACTCACAACTGTTATTAAATACCAAATCAAATAAAAAGCTGTAACATTTCCTTTAAAATTAATGCTAATAAGGGAGGTAGAGTTGAATGGCAAAACAATTTTACTTAGTGGTGCCTAATATGAGCCACAAGAGTCCATGCATGACAAGATACCATTGTTTGAATTGTCTTTTATAGTCACTTTTTTTTAATTTTTTTACCTTTGATTCTCCTTCAAAATATATATGCTGGATTAACTGATATAAAAAGAAATAAAAAAGGTAAATTTTTTAAACGAATTGTTATAATCATTTTTAAATTGTATATTAGCCAAGTGTTACTCTTTGCCCTGGAAAACTATTTTCAGTTTTTATGTATTTTATCCTAATTTTTGGTTATTAAGAGGTTTGGGGGGGAGAGTCAATTTTGTCAATGCTAAAATATGTTTAAATGCAATCTATAGTAGTTTCCCTTATCTGAGAAGGGGTATGTGCTAACACTCCCGGTGAATGCCTGAAACGACTGGGTTTTTTTGTTTGTTTGTTTTGTTTTTCCCATATACATTAATACTAAAAGCTTAGATCATAAGTTAGGCACAGTAAGAGTAACTATAGTCGCTAATAATAAAATAGAACTATAACAATACTGTTTGGATTTTTTTGTTTTTGTTTTTTTTCCTCTGGGTTTTTTTGGGGGGTGGGGGGTACTGCTGGGGATTTTACTCAGGGCCTGAAGCGTGGTAGTCTAGCAGTCTACCACTCCACTTAGCCCCAGCCCTTCTCAGAGCTTGTTATTGTGCTGTATGCACTCTGCTTGTGATAGGAGATAATTAAGTGAGGAGATGAAGTGAAGAGTTATAGGAAACAGACTATGCAGCTAAGTAGAGAAGGCTTGTTTGAACACCAGTACTGAGAACAGACACTGCCACAGTCTGGTAACCCCAAGGGCTAAGTGACTAATAGGGAGTATATACAGCATGGATTCAATGATGACGTCTCTGCTACTCAAAATGGCATGTAATTTAAAACTTAATAACTGTTTAATTTTGGAATTTTCCATTTAATAATTTTGGATCACGGGCTAGCTCAGTCAGTAGAGCATGAGACTTTTAATCGCAGGGTTATGGGTTCGTGCCCCACATTGGGCGCCAAATGTAGTCAGAAGGTTTCTCAGGTCCTGTCCGGCCCCACGGTCAGGACAAATCTCTCCCATCCATGTCCCACAGCTGCTTGGCCCCAAGAATATAGAGAGGCTTATATTGTTTACAAACTGTATGGCCTATGGGTCAGGCTTGTTGCTAGCTAGCTCTTATATCTTAAATTAACCCATTTCTATTGATCTATCCATTGCCACGTGGCTTTGTGGCTTCCCGGTACTTTTACATCTTGCTTCTCCTGGCATCTGGCTCCCAACTTCTACCCAGACTCTGCCTTTTTCCTTCCTGTCTCAGATTTCCCGCCTGCTTCTAAGCTGCCTTGCCATAGGCCAAATCAGCTGATTTATTGACCAATGGGAACACCATGTATTCACAGCGTACAGAAAGACATCCCCCAGCACACCAGCTCTAGGAAATCCCAGCTTCCTCCCTTGGCCTCCACAGGCAATGTACATAGGTGGTGCACAGACATACATTCAGGTAAAACACATAAAAATAAATCTCAAAAAAAAATTTAATGCTTTATTTTTTACTTACAAACCCAAGGCAGCTAGCCGAGTCTTACCAAAGCCTGTTTTCACTATCAACAAGATAACCAAGGTCTATAAATTCTGGTTCTGTTTCTTAATTTTATGTACATAGCAACCTAAAACTGCCTTTCTGTCATTTGAACAAATCCTGATATTATAAGATATATTCGGGCTGCTGTGTTTTAAAATGTAGCTTTAATAATTTAATAGTAACATTTTCTACTTCTATTTGTACATTAAGTTTAATAAGCCAGGTGTGATTGTTCCTGCCTGTAGTCCCAACATTTTGGAAGCAGAGGCAAGAGATCAGAAGGCCAAGTTTCCCCTTGGATACACATCCAGTTTGAAGACAACCTGGCCTACATGAGACCTATCCCAACAAAACAAAAAATGTTTACTACAAAGCTTTATTGTTTATTGAAGGGAAAAAAAACTGGTTTAAAAATAAATGTCAGACATTGGAAAGTGTTTTTAATTAGCTCACTGGGGACAATCCTAATTTCCCCAAAATAGCCATTATCAATATATTCCAAGTGCTGTAAAAACTGATTAAGTTCATTACTCCCAAAAGGACTCCCAACTGTTGAAAGGCTTTTAAAAAAAAAAAAAAAAAATTATTATGTATACAGTGTCCTGCCCGCATGCATGCCTTCACACCAGAAGAGGGCCCGGATGTCATAGATGGTTGTGAGCCACCTTGTGGTTGCTGGGAATGGAACTCAAAACCTCTGGAAGAGCAGTCAGTGCTCTTAACCCCTGAGCCATCTCTCCAGCCCAAAGGCCCTCTTATAATGAATTGTAATAGAAGATAGAGACCGAGTAGAATCTCTCAACTAACTAAAACTACCTCAGTTCATCTTTTTAAAAAATCTTTAAGACGGGCTGGGGCTGGAAAGATATCACAGTGGTTAGAACTCCTTGTTCTTGCAGAGGACCCAGGTTCAGTTCCCAGCATCCACATGGTGGCTCTCAACTATTTGCCACTCTAGTTCCAGGGGATAAAATGTCCTCTTTTGACTTCCACAGGCATAGGCAGGCACTCATATTGATACACACAGAAACATGTAGGCAAAATGTTCTTACACATAAAGATCTTTAAGATGAATGTTAGTCTCCAGATCAAAGACGCAAGTAATAAAACAGCTGTCAGAAATGAGTTTATTATAAGCATTCCATTTGTTTGACACAGTATCTGATTGTATAATCCTTGGCTGGCCTAGAACTCAAGAAATCAGCCTGTTCTGTCTATAGTGTTAGACCATGCCCTGCTCCCAGTCAGTTTTTAATCAAAGTTCAGAATTATAGGATCATGTCCTGTAGCCTTCACAAATACAAGAAAGTCTTCAGGACTCAATCCCATGGTTGCAGCATTCGTCATTGGATGAAAGTATACTTTTTCATGTCCACCTTCCAGAAAAGCTGAATCCAAAACAAACTTAACATCTCCATCATCACAAAAGAGTGCCAAAGGTGTGGCACAGCCTTGACCAACTTTTAGTTTTGCTAGCATGTCTGTTTCATCAGCAAACCGAAGATTTCCACTCCGAACTCCTAACTGCTTGCCAAGATCATTTAAATTAATTTGTCTGTCATGAAGAACTGTCACCAGCCAGTAGTTTTTCTTCTTTTTGTCTTTAAGAAATAAGTTCTTACTATGTGCTCCTTTCAAATGTTGAATATGAGGCATCATTTCTTCAACTGTAAACACCTGCAAAATATTCCACGAGTAAAGTAGCACACATACATGTAAAACCACAGTTGCACATATTTTGCATGGTGGCTGAAAGACTTAAGGGAGTACTCGGCTCTGAATTGAACTGGTAGAGACCCATCTCTGTTCATTAAACTTTTTTTTTTTATTGCTTGTGGTTGGGCTTTTTGGTGCTGGGGATGGAACCCATGCTAGGCAAGTTCGATACCTCTGAACTAAATCAGTCTCCCCTGTAATAATGGTACTCTGGGCTGAGGTTAGGATCAAGAGTTCAGGTAAGCCTGTATTACACAGCAAAACCCTGTCAGAAAAACAAAATAAAAAAGCCTTAAGTCATCACAGTTGCTAAACTCGGGACCTCGGTTTTTCTTAGGCCAGTTTTCTATCCCAGAATGCTAACAAAGCCATCAGATACCTGAGAAGTTTACTGTTTTTGAACTTTGGCAGTAAAAGTTTACAATTGTCCTTAGTATTTACCTCCAGAATACCTGACTCCACTCTACAAGGACACTACTGGGGAACTTCAGACCCCAGATTAGCACATAAGGAACATTAAATAATAAAAAATAAAATGAAATTGGCAATGTAGACAGGAATGTAACAATCTGGGAGGAAGGTCAGAGAAAACAATTTTGTTGTGATGTTTGTAAAGATGGGGAATATTAACAATGTATTTTTGTCATTATGAAATGTGTTCCTCAAGCCCTACTAACGCTCATGGTAGTTTCCATGAGCTGTACCATGCAAATCTCCAGTACGATAGTTCATGTTAAAATTACTAAGGTACCTACTTTTCTCTGTGACACGAATGGGCGTGCAGGGCCAAAAGAGGGCTTAGGGCTCCCTGGAGCTGTAGTTTTAAACAGGCAGTTAGGAGCTCCATGTGAGTACTGGAAACTAAATTCGTGTCATCCACAAGAGGAGTACGTGCTCTTAACCGCGAAAACAAAATTCTCCAGACCCAGGAGTATATACTTCTCTGTAATTATTTGGGAGATGATTGTTGCCTTGCTGCAGTGGTATCAGAATAGTCCAAAGAAGTGAGAGAGAGAGAAAGGGGGGGAGGGGGAGGGAGGGGGGGAGGGGGAGAGAGGGAGAGGAGAGAGAGAAACCAAGCCAAACCACCTTAACGACCTGCTCTGTCTCCGGTACCTAACAGAACAGGCACTGATATAGGGCTGCCACTCAGTGGGGCTTGCTGCTTAGTACCTCATCTGCATAAGGCAGCAGCCCTCAGGCTCTTGACATCGCACCCATCATCCCAAGACAAGTTTCCTCACTATAACCGCAGTTTGAAGTCAAAAGACCTGCAAGTTCCTGTTGGACCCAAGAAACACTCGCCCTACGGCCCCGGGCCCCGGCGCCTCACCTCGGGGTGCTCCACGACCTCCGTGCGGATGGCGAGGGCTCCGAGCCTCTGCTCTAGCGCCGCCCGCAGCTCGGGCAGCGCCATCCTTCCTCCACGGCCGCAGGCAGACGGAGGCGCTTGCCCGGAAGTGCCGCAGCTTCCGGGCCTGGCGGTGCCGCCTCCGCCGGCGCCCGGCTCTGTAGCCTGGGCTCGCACGTCCGAGAAAAGTGTGGTCAGCCACAGCCCAGACCACCAGGGGCCGCGGCACTGTGGCCTCATAGCTTTCCAACTATAATTTATAACGTACGACTTTGTGTTTTCCTTTTTAAATGTTGTATGTTTGGGCGTTTTACCTGCATGCATGCCTGTGCACCTCGTGTGTGCAGTACTTGAGGAGACTGAAAGAGGGTTTTAATTTCCTACAACTGGAGTTATGGGTGGTGAGCTATGTGGGTGCTACGAATGGAACTCGGGACCTCTGGAAGAACAGCCAGGGCTCCAGCCCGTTTTGATACTAGAAAACATGAGTAGTGCGACGATTCACCTTTTGCCATGATCATTATAATACCTTTTGTTGGGGGATCTGCAGCCATGCTGGGACCACTCACTCTTCAGTGAGTTTCAAATTCCACGTTAGTATTCCACTTAAAATTTTAGATTAAGGCTCATATCCAACATGAAACATTGATATACTCAGAGATGTTTAACCTTAATATGAATGAATTTAATTTATTCGGTGGTGAACAGTTAAGATCTGAAATATAGACCCTCTTAAGACGTAGGTAAATGGCCCACGACTTACCCAGTCTTGGAGGAAATTACAAAAGAGGAAATCAGAGTTGTGTTTACAGTTTCATTCAGAACTCAGGATTGCAAATTTTTAAAACTTTTTAGCTTAAA